GCAGCATCCCCGGCGAAGTTGTGTGCTGCCCTGCCACAGCTACTGTGACGTCGTGCCAACCTTTCCTCTTTGGGTGCCCTGCCATCTTCATTTGTTACGCCTCGCAACGCTCTCCGGGCGCCCCTTCCACTCTAATCTCCCTGGCCTAGCCTCGCGACTCGCGCAAAGGCCCATCCTCGCACCTATCCTATCCTGTCTGCAACTTGGTACGGTGCTCAGTGCTTCACAACCTTCCAGCAATCACCACACTCCTCTCGGCCATCGGCCTGTTTTTTTTTCGCTCGCCTTGCTGCTCCTGCCCTGGCCATCACACCTGGCTCCCCGTTAGACCGCCTTGACACTTTTCACCCCCCCCAACGGGATCCACTGGACCTGGCCAACTCTCACCCCCCCCCCTCCCCATCTCTCGTCTGCTGCCCTAATCAAGTCCACATCCCTCCTTCCCCCGGGCGCACAGGCACGGTCAAATCTCCCAGCCCGATCATTAAGCCACTCGAGCTATGGTCATAGACTCATCCCTCTTTCATGCTCACTAGAACAAGCTAAGCTACGGAATACTACCCGCCTACCGTGGTCCTGGGGCTTGCTCCACACGCCCTTTCCAACCGTCGTCTCTCATTTCTTCGACATTTCCGCACCTGCATCTACCTGGACCCTTACTCCAGCTTCTATCGCACTTCGAACCCTTCGATAGCCTTTGGAAGTACCCCTCTACGTCGGATAGACTCGACCTCCTCGCCTACCCTTCCTTTCCCATCCCACACTGGACCTCGAACCCTCGAATGAGATGAACTGAACGGAACACCGCGCCTCAACCAACATCATCACGAATCGGGCTTCCCTAGAAGGTGTGTGTTTGTCCATCTTGACTCTCTAGACGCTCGCAGTCTCTAACGTGACACAAGTCTCATCACTTGGAGAGAGTGAACAAAACCATTCGACGTTTGGTCGATAGGCATCTCTCAATCACATCACAATGCACTCAGACTCACAAGTACAGCCACATGGCTGGGCCTCCCTGGAGGAGAGGTACGAGGTGATGAAGGAGATTGGTGACGGCAGCTTCGGAAGCGTAGCACTTGCACGCGTTCGAACGGCTGGCTCGCACGTGGCTCGTCGCGGTACTTTGGTAGGTAGCATGTCCCGATGCCATCATGATGCAAGACAGATCAGACTGACGCGTCCTAGGTCGCGATCAAGACGATGAAGAAGACTTTTGACTCGTTCTCAAGTTGTCTGGAACTCAGAGAAGTCATTTTCCTACGCTCACTACCAGCACACCCTCACCTGGTACCGGCGCTCGACATCTTCCTGGACCCGTACAGCCGGAGGCTCCACATTGCCATGGAGTACATGGACGGAAACTTGTACCAGCTCATGAAGGCGCGTGACCACAAGCCTTTGGACGCCTCGAGCGTCAAGAGCATTCTCTTCCAGATCCTCTCCGGACTCGAACACATTCATGACCGCGAGTTCTTCCACCGCGACATCAAGCCAGAGAACATTCTTGTTTCTACTTCAGCCCACAATGACACCTCCCATCCTTTCCGCAGATACTCGGCCATGATGACTCCTCCATCCACCCCACCCGTGTACACGATCAAGATTGCCGACTTTGGATTGGCACGGGAAACCCACTCGAAGCTTCCATACACGACCTACGTGTCCACGCGGTGGTATCGCGCTCCCGAAGTGCTCCTCCGTGCCGGTCATTATTCTGCCCCGGTCGACATCTGGGCGGTGGGTGCCATGGCCGTCGAGATTGCGACTCTGAAGCCACTTTTCCCAGGTGGCAACGAGGTGGATCAGGTGTGGAGAGTGTGTGAGATTATGGGTAGCCCTGGAGGCTGGGTGAACAAGCACGGACAACGCGTTGGTGGCGGTGAGTGGAAGGAAGGCGTGAGGTTGGCGCAGAAGCTGGGCTTCTCTTTCCCCAAGGTACGCTATCGATGTCGTTGGCTCCGGGATTCTGCAACTAACTTGTCACAGATGGCGCCGCACTCGATAGACACCATTCTGCCTTCCCCTCAATGGCCGGCCAGCTTGTCCCAGTTCGTTACGTGGTGTCTCTTGTGGGATCCACGAGCGAGACCAACATCAGCTCAGGCGCTTGCGCACGAATTCTTCACAGATGCATTTGACCCACTACGCTTGAAATCATCGCACTCGAGAATGCTAGGCCACAAGCCTTCTGGCCTCTCGGTCAAGGATTCGCCAGATGCGTCACCCAGCCTGAGTTCCAAGACTTCTTCGTGGCTACGCCGATCGCTCGTTGCCCGAGAGAGCGCCCCTGCGGTTCCCCAGCACACATCAACGCAGCCACTGTCACCTGCCCCATCGCCAGCGCATGCCAATAATGCGGATGTTAGTGGGTCGGGTAAGCAGCGACCTGCTGCTGCTAAGCGAGCTACGTGGACGAACGGGGTGCCTTCCAACGGCGCACCCATCCCCATTTTGCCATCTATTCGACCGATATCCCCTCTGTCTGCTGAGGTGACTGCACAAGCAAGTGTGCGTCAAACAGACAGCGAAGAAAAGGCAGCCAAGAAGATTGGTCGTCAATTGTCTGTCGCGTCGCACGGAAATCACTATGCTGAGGCACACCGACAAGAGGCAGAACGGGCATTGAACGGTCAATCTGGGCTCACGTCTCCACCCAATGGTCAAAAGGAGGGCTTCTTCTCGCATCTGCGTAAGCGTGCTCGACGCCTATCAGGACGCTACCAAACTCCTATGTCACCGAATTCGGATGACATTGAAGCCAATGCTGGTTGTGCTCCGTGGGCAGCAACCAGTGCTCGACAGTCATTGGTCATGGACCAATCTGGCGCTACATCGACTACTTCGGACTTTTCAGAGTTGGACAAGGCCCTGCAGCACGTTAGGGACAGCGTCGAAGCCAACTCGGCCAAGAACGCTCGTGCTGCGACAAATCCCATGCTGAAGCGTCACCATTCGGTGCCCCACGGCCCTGAGCCTCGCAATGCGGAGAATGGTGCCGTTGGGCCCATCTCCAGTCGAACACGACGTGCGGTTCAGAACAAGTCGAACCCATCCAACCGATATGAGACTCCCAATGAAGAGGAGGAGCTCCTCAGCGAGGTTCTTGCATCTGCACAAAAGGCTGCCAACAAGCTCGACTCGCAGAAGCCAGTTCAGCGATCCCAAACGGATCTGGGCCCCGCCGCATCCTACCTCACACCTTCTCCTTCAGCCAATCGCGATAGTCTCGACTACATGACGCCCAGCAAGCCCATGCACATTGCCAAACCACACAACAAGGCCGAAGAAAGCGTTTCCAAGTGGCCCACCCCGCCCTACAGCGATTCCGACTGGGCTACGAGCGTTGCCGCAAGCCTCATGGCCGCTCAAAAGCAGGTCGGGTGATCATCACCAGTGCGGCCAAGACCGTACAGCTATTTACCTTGCATTCTCTCCCATCATCTTCCACCATATAATTGTAATACGGGTCTGGGCCTGATCAGCGTCCTCCGTTCATTGTCGCTTCGCTCACGACCGCACGACACTGAGCCTTCGGCTTCCCGTCAGGAACGGTGCACGAAACCACAAAAGTAGACTGAGATCGCGCAACAAAAAAGCCCTCAAAAAGCTGCGCCATCTTTCTGGGACCATTACTGGTGTTCAAAGGCGTCACACGGACATCTTCTCTGCGTCCCAAAGCGCACACTCACCATCGTTTATCCATCTATCTCGCATTCGACTCCACATTCAACCCTTGTTGTACCACCTTTCATCACCAGTTACAACAATCGCTCTGTACACCACCAGAAATAGTTTTCCTTTTCCCTTACCAAACTCATTCATCATCTTGGCGAGGCATCTTTCTTCCATGTCTGCAGCGGTGGCAAGGGGAAACTCTTTACACAATCATCGAACTTTCTATATATCCGTGGAGGGGCATATTGTCAAATACTTTACAAGCGGGGTTCAGGGAGGAAGAGGGGGGGGAGGGAACAAACTGTGAATAATTTTTTTGTTTTTCCTTGGAATTGGGGATTCCCTTTCCCTCCCCCTCCCCATACTCAAATTTTCTTTGGTTATATCGCTTATCTAGACCGCATGTTCCTCCTCTCTACACCTACCTTGCCTATACACATTGCTTTTTTGGAGCTTTTGCTTCGTTTTGTTGTCGGCGGATACCCCACAATTTGAGCATTTGGCGACTCTCTTCCCTCCTATCATAGTCTAGCACCTCCATCATTGTCACCATTATATCTACATCAACATGGTCATCCTGTTCCACATACGTTTACTTTTTACATGCGAGAGTACTTGACTGGGTTGATCCTCTTTGCTCTTTGTTTCTTCTTCTTCTCCTCTTTGGATAATTGGATACCTGGATGGGATGAGAGAGGGAGAAAACTCCTCGGGGCCCTTGGCCCTTTTCCTCTGCTTGCTTTTGGATCCAACGGGAAAATCTGGACAGGATGGGGAAGGAAACCGGGGTTTTACTTTCTGGCTTTTCTCTCTCTACCCTTTTCTTTTTTGAGGCCCTATTTGAGGTTCTTGTTGTCGTGTATACTTTTCACTACTAGGCTGCGGGTCGAGCAGTAGTTCGCGGCATTGTAGCATCTTCTCTCTCCGCCTGGTTTTTGCTTTTTGTGTACTCGTAGTCGCAACTTGCCTCTTTTTTTTTTCTTTTTTTGTTCTCTCTTGTTTTTGGCGAAGGTCTTGGACCTCGCTTGTACACACTCGTTTGGCTTGGTTTTTTTCTTTTTTGTCTGTCTCTCTTTCTGTCTCCGTCTCATTGCATCTACATCTACATCCTCCGCGCACGTTGAATATCTAGTCATCATGCGTGCGTGCGTGCGCGTGTCGTGTATTTTTCCTTTGTCCAGATTTTTTCCCCGGTCTTAGATATCCCCCCTATCCGTAGCAGTTGCATCTTATCCTATCCTGTCCCATCCTATCCTATCCTATTCCATGCTGCATCTTTGAGCCCGTGCCTGCGCGTGATTGTGCATGTGTTGTATGGCGTGTTTTGTGCTGTTGATGCTTGACATGTTCTCCTGACCTAGTGGTTAGAGTATATGCACTCGTATCCTTTGCCTAACAACGAGAGGCCTGTTGATACGGCTTCTAGTTCCACCTTGTCGCGTCAAAGCCACGATTCTTTTTCACATTGACATGTGTGTGGGTGGGTTTGGCTTTCATATGTATATATTTCATCTTCTACACACTGCTCGCTTTTCCCAGACTCGGAAATCTCCTATCCATGATATTTACTCTGTGTCTGCATCACAACCCCCTTTCCCTACCTCTCCATCATCCTCCCAATCATTCTCTCCATCACTACCCCCCTACTAACCCCCCTCACCACCCCCCACCCACCGCCACCGCCAACCCAGCCACACGCTCCATATCGCTCTGCTTCTTCTTGCCGACATCGCTCTCGACCTTGATAAAAGACGTGTAGAGCAGCTGTTGCAAAGGCACACCCGTGATGTCGGACCAATGGTGCAGGATAGTCTTGATGCGGGTTCTGGAGACGCCGCCGACGATGTCGTCATCTTTGTTGTTGGTGGGGGAAGTAGCCGCAGCAGTAGCAGTTTTGATACCGGCATCATCATCAGCATCAACATCACCATCAGCCACCGACTCTTCGGCAGAGAAATACGCTTCGTCAACCTTGGCAAGCCATTCCTTTTGTTCCTTGGGCCCCGGGCGCGGCGCAGGCGTAGGCTCACGGCCACTCGCATCTTGAACGCGCTCAAAGGCGCGAATCTCGTCCACCTCGCCGACCTTGATTTGACCGCCGCCGTTGGTGCAGCCCCCCGGACACGCCATGACCTCGACGTAGGCATACTGGCCGACGTCCTCGCGCGCAGAAGCCGCCGCCGCCGCGCCTGGGGGCCTGCGAACGACGCCCGTCCTTGCGCCGGGTAGTCGGCTGGCCCTTGCGGGTTTGAGCTTGCGCACGAGGTTTTGAATGTTGCGGAAGCCGTAGAAGCGGGCGGCGCGGATCAGGATTTGCGGGCCCTGCATCACGGCGTATTCGACCACGTCGGCGTTGCGGCCTCGCGAGATGGTGAGTGTGGAGCCTGGGTGGCGTGCTTGGTACGTCTGTAGGATGTGGTAGAGATAGCCGCCCGAGGAACCTGCGGCAGCCGGCTGGTTCTTCCTGTGCGAGGGCGGGAAGAGAAATGTGTCAAGTTTTGGGTCGGGGAAGGGCGTTCGGTCGGCGGGAGCAAGAGGGGTTTTGGGCAGGGAGGCGAGGTTGATGCCACGGGCGGCGGCGAGGTGGAGGACTTCGCGAGCCGTGATTACGCAGTCGACGTCGCGGACTTTGTCTTGCGATGCTTCGTAGCCGGGGAGCCAAGAAGCTGAGGTGAGTTCGCTACGGCTGGCTTCGAGCTTCTTGTCAAAACAGGGCATGATGGCTAGATGCCATATTTGCGAAGGCGCAACGTTGTAGCGCTGGCTCAGCACCGACTTGAGCAACGTACCGGTGAGTGCTTGAGGGGATTTGAGGCGCGAGAGGTGCGGGAGGAGGTATGGATGTGTCTTTTCGGCGTAGCATATCCATCCAGGACATGCCGACGTGAGGATTGGCTGTTTGGGTGTGGTGTCTATTGCGCCTTCGGATCCGGGTCGTGTAGGCGCATTCAACGCCTCTGGCGACAGCGCATGGGCGACCTCGTCTGCTGCTGCCACCAAGCATGCCTCACGTACTGAGTTTGTGTCGATGACCCAGGTAAAGTCACTTCTTTGGTGACCGCCACTTCTTAGTCCCGAGGGGCCGCTGAGCAGCTGTGTGATCAGATTGCCAGCCTCTGCTTCAGTAATGTTGAAGACGGCGGCTAGACTGGCGCGTGCCTGTGGCGAAACACTTGCTACAAACAGCTTCTCTTCAACACCATGTCCATTGGTCATGCCATGTGTTCCATTTGTCCCATTTGTCCCATTATGCGTCATCCATGGTGCTCGCAATGAGCGGTACGTGTCGAGCGTGGTGAGGACTTCGCTGTGTGATTGCAGTGACACTAGCACTGCTTCTGCGCTGGTGACACATCCTGAGCAGGCGAGACAGTCGGTCAGCGATATTGAGGCGGGCGGCGGCGGTTGTGCGGCGGCGGCTTTTTCTTCAGTCGTGACTTCGTACGGATTCTGGCCTCTGTCAGCATGCGCCCGACATTATTCGTTTTTTCTTCAGACAATGTACCGAGCTGTCTTCTGCCTGCACAGGCAATGTCTCTATCGGCTTTATGCACGCGACGCCTGGTGAGATGAAGTCGTTGAGGTCGTCTGCGGAGAGTATGGCACTCATGGCGAGGCGTGCATGTGGGGGGGTTTATCGCTGGAGAAGCGTGGCGAGCCCGAGTGCGTGCTAGACGTCGCAAACTCTAATCGAACGGCGGAATTGCGAAATTCAGCAAAGATAGGACAGCCACAAACAAAATGTGTACAAGGAGAAGAAGAATTAACTAAGAGGTAGGTTATATTCGCAATTCAAAGCAGGCGCAGAGTATGTCATGCCGATGCGCGGAGAAAGGCCCTTAGACTATTTCACCGTCATGTAAGACGCGCCGACCTATCGATAAGCTTCCATTTCCAAACGTCCCGCGGCTTCTTCCCTTTTTGCCACACGATCCACTTCACTCCTGGACATATCGCCGCCCACTTCGACCTACATCTCACGTGCTTCCCGTGCACCTTCAATCGCTTGAACGGCGATCACATTAGCTGCCGTGATATAGCTGCCCCCCGGAATATGGGGAAAATACTTTGGGGATCATGTTCTGCAGCGGTTGATGACTTTAGCCTGCTTGCGCATGAGTGGCTATTATGCGAATGACTGTCTGGGTGGTGACCAGGAAATAGACAATGTGGTATATGATTTGCTCTATTTGGGACGACAACAAGTCAAATATCCTGTAATGTCGATTTCTCTCCTCATGTCTTTTGTTTTCGTCCTTTTTTTCTCTACAGTGTTGTAGGTGTACTACTGCCCCCCATGCGGCGCATTTCCATCGATACCTCAAAGGTCATGCCATCTCAGAAGAGTAGGCCCTTTGATACGGCAAAAACGAGGCGATCCTGGTGCAGCTCACGACCAAGGCTGCTAACGACATGTTTGTTCTTTGGAGCTCTCTGGCTATGGTTCAAGCTCCCTCATCAGGACAATCTCATACCAGAAGACTCCTTTGAGTATCTGGAAGACGAAAGTCTGCAGGACATTAGAAACGAGACTCTGGGAGTATGTTGAGCCTTGCATAAGATGAATTCTTTCTGACTGTGGTGATCACGGGAGCCTGTGGCTGTAATTCGCTTTGCTTATTGAGCCATGCAGTTCGAGAAAATATTGGTCCTCAACCTCCCCTTCCGCACTGACCGCCGCGATGCCATATCGCTGTCAGCAGCACTCTCCAACATTAAACTCGAGTTTGTAAATGGCGTGACAGGTGACAGTATCCATGAAAAGGCATATCCTCCACCAGACGAGAACATCAAGCTTCTACCCGGTATCCGTGGGAGTTGGAGAACGCATATGAACGCTCTGCAGAGGTACGTATACTATAATCACTGTCGTTGAAATCCCAAACCCACGTACCCAAACTAATTCATCTACAAGAGTCGTCGAGCAGAACCTCACCACCGCCCTCATCCTAGAAGACGACGTAGACTGGGACATACGCATCCGACAATCCCTCCAACGCTTCGCCCTAGCCTCCCGCTTCCTCTCAGACCAACACACACACCTCACCCCACACTTTGCACAGCAAATCCAACACACTGCCAACACCGAAACCAAAGAAACAGCGTACAGAATTCTCGACACCTCCAATCTCGCCAAAACACTTTCCTTCCTCCCCTTATCCTCTACACACACCCACTCCTCCCCCTACACCTCCCACCCCTACGCCAACCCCTTAACCTTCGACATCCTCTGGCTCGGCCACTGCGGCGCCGGCATGCCTCGCCCACCCCTCACCTCCAACCCCAACAACAGCTACCCCAATCCCCTCCTCCTAACCCACCACCCCGACCCCACCGTCCCGGCCCCCCAACACCTCAAAGCCCACCCCTTCCAAGACACCCCCGACCCCCTCGCCACCCTCTTCGCACCTCACACCCGCGTCTACCACCCCAGCACCGGCGGCAGCCTCTGCACAGTCGCCTACGCCGTCTCCCAGCGCGGCGCACGTCGCCTACTACACCAATTCGGCGTCAAGGCCTGGAACGGGATCTTCGATGCCGAACTCGGGCGCTGGTGTGCGGGCTTGGATCCGCAGTTTGGACGCCCCAGGACCAGCAGGGTGGGCGAGGGTGCAAAGGAGAGACTTTGTATTACAACCCAACCACCGCTTTTTGCACATCATCATCCGCGAAAAGGGGAAAGCGATATCGGGGGTCTTGGGGGTGGGTATGCGCGCGCGTATGAGACCAAGTATCTGAGGTATAGTGTTAGGATAAATATGGAGGGGTTGGTGGAGGGTGTCGGTGAGAAGGGGATGGTGGATCAGTGGGTTGATGGGGAAGGGAGGGAGGGATGACGGGGGGAGTGTATGTATAAGATGAGGAGAGGCGAGAAAGCTGAGGGAGAGATGTCGGTTGTGGTGGATGGCAGCTATCAAAAGCTGTTTGCTCGGACAACAGTGATGTTGGAAGGAGCTTATACTGTTGGTCTGTGAACGTTTGATCATGTATATTATCTGATGGCGTGAAGTGATGATAGCTATCTAGACTTTCCTCTCCTTTCCTTTCCTCTGTATAACCCATGACCTACAACGAGGGCCCTATTGCCCTGGTTCCCCCTTGTCCACACGATCTCTCCACATAACAATTCCTAAGATACACAATGAACAGCAGACACACATACGCCCCAAGCCCCATATACCTTTTAACCCCCCAGCACCAGCACCAGGCCGATACCGTGCTCTAGCCCAAAGTGCCAAAAGCCGATACCGTCGACCAATGTAAGAAAGGCAAACAAGAAGGGAATGAAGATAGAGGTATCGTTAGCCAAAAAGAAATACTTGGCTCCAGAAGATTTTCCTCCAAGATTAAACCCCATAACGCCAGGAAATGCAAGTGTTTTCCCGTCCTAACGACCTTAACAAGAGTGTACAGGAATGGAGATGGATTAAGGGAACCCAGACGCCGTCGCTGTTGAAATGGCAGCAAGTGCATATCTGAGCTGGTGTGCGTGACTGAACGGACAGGGCGCGGCGTAAGGGTCGGGCAAGGATATAACGGTGACCATAAATCGAAGCGAGGGCACGATGTCAGTATATCCAGGCTCGGGGCCCGTCTCGCCCGGCTGCTCCCATGTGTGGTGGGGAGACCTAGTGGCATTATCCGTCCTTGTCTCTAGTAGTCGCCGCCGCTGCTGCTAGCATAGGGCCAATGCATGCACATGTCTCCTCTTGAAATGGGGAAACTCCGAAATCTGAATATATGGCTCTTCACTCAATCAGCGGTTTCCTCACCCCTCCAACAATAGCAATTCCAAGAGCTCTCAAACCATCTGGGTCGTTCGCTCGAATAATAGTACTAGCGGGTAGCATCGGGTTGTCGGGCGCAACGTGCGCTGCGTCCTTGGCCGCCTGCTCGATCGCTTCCATCTCTTCCTTGCAACCTGCGTGGTCGAACGGGCATACAACGATGGGCTGGCGGAGCAGAATATCGCGTGCTGACGACATTTGTGCCTTGATCACTGTTAGCATCAGTCTGCAAGGATATCTCAACAGCAACCTACTTTGACGGTGAGGTAATACTCAATCTTGTACAATGTCCCTGTTGTCGTGAAGCCAGTCACCGCATACATGGGAAATTCTTTCTTGCCTCTTGGGATCACGCCGTCGCTGTCTCTCAGGTCTTTTGCTGGGAAGACCAACCCAAGATTAGTGAAGTAGCCTGCCTCTGGCATCTTGACACCTACAGCCTGTGTTGTTTTGGCTAGTGTCTTGACTTTGCGTGTCGGCTCGTCGCCTTCATGATTGAAGATGATTTCCTCATCTATACCGACTGTGATTTGTTTTATCGTGACTTTCTTCGCTTTACTCAGCCAGTCTTGGTTCGGGCTGAGTTTGATATATACAGAGACAGGGTCTAGAGGGCCATAGCTCCAGCGCGGTAAACTGATGCCCAGTGTGACCAGGTGGTCTGTCACTCGTTCTGCGCTCTCGGGGCGATTGTACATGCCAAACGTGGAGAGGGTGTCGTATCGTTGGATTGGAACGGGGAACGCGTATTTTCTCTGTTCCTGTGGTCCTTGCTGCAAGGTCACGACTAGCTCATAGAAAGTCTCAGCCGTGCGACTCGGTAGTTGCAGACTGGCAGGAGGTACTCTTCTAGCCACCTCTTCGCCGCCTCGACCGTATGGAATGAAAATAACAAAGGGCAGGTCCATGCACAGTATGCTTTCGTGATCTCTACCAGCCGCACAGCGGTACAGCAGCATCTCCTTGCCAACAATATCGGTGATCTCCTTGCGCGGTGCTGCCAGATGCTTCTTCGTAACCGAGTCGGCGGAGGGGTGTATGGTTTCACGACGATGGAGTGCGATGGTAACGAGGGAGACATTGACAGGCGCGGAGACACCCACGAGAGGGCGGATCTCGACCTTGCCTTCTATGCGAGGCTGGAAGATGTCAGTCAGCACATGCCAAGTATGGGATTGGGGAGAGTTGCGCAGCATCACGACAAGTACAAAGCAGACTGCAGGGAGCGCAAAGCAGACAGGCTGCGCGAGAGCATAGCCATATCACGTACCAATGTTGCTGATATGCCTGGGTAGCCTACCAGGAAATTACTGTTGGGAGGTCCGGAGACGCGCACAAAGGCCGACATGGTATCTCACGATGACGAAGTCGTCGGCGCAGGCCTGGGCTGGCAGCAGGCGCTGCATGGGGCGTGGCAGTGAATGCGCCAAGTTGGGAGTGTCTTTCAAGAGTGCGGTATGCCCTCGAGCGCGGTGCGCCGGCAGCTCTGCGGGCCTTGGGTGCTGGGAAAGCCTTCCTCCGACCGTGTGTCTGGTGTGGGGTTGGGGACGCAGGTGAGGTGAGATGCCTGAATAGGCGGGGAGGCAGTGGGCCGGTAGTACAGCAGCGGCACAGCAACAACAGCAGAACAGAAACAGCAATCGACTGAGGGCGAGGGCGAGGGCGAGGGCGAGGGCGAGGGCTACGCGCACTGTACTCTCGTGTGTGTATATATGAAGCGAGTGCTCGAACGGCGTGTGTAGGGCAGGTCAGATGCGCCGGTAAGGCTGGGGAAGACGGGAGCTTGTCTGACTGGTGGCGCCGTAGGTAGGGTAAGGTGATGGACGCTGCTGCTGATGATGATGATAATACAGTACATGCAGTACAGTGCATCTATGTGCTATGTACTCGGCCACACTTACAATGACGCGGACTGTGGACGAACAATGGACGGTCGTAAGTCACTAGCGCTGGCGTGGACAGCGAAGCCAGCGCGATTGCAGCACCAGAGAACAACGCAATGCCGACAGACGGCGCAGGCGTAGAGGCAAGATGACGGCCAAAGATTGGAGGAGGTGCAACCTTTCCGGTGTGGGTGAGGAAGCTCCTAGTTGTGGGGGTCCCAAGCTATCACGAAGATGGATGCTAGCTGCATTGCTAACCCTAGGAACTATTAGAAACTACTGCCTACTCCTACATTCCCCCAGCGTAAGCCACGCTTCGTCTCTCCGACATGCGCCTCAACCTGTACTGACATCATGTCTGTCACGGTAAGTACCAGAGCTTTTTTTGGTCCTCCAGTCTGCCTACCACTCATGCGCTGTCTTTACCCCATGGGCCGTTTGTGGTCCCGTTCAATCCAACCATTGTTATGCGCCCAGGTCCATTGGGGTCCTCACAAGCCTCATGTCTGACCTTGCAACGTTGACCTTTTCTCGATCCACATACACCACAATAAACGGCTCAACGGCTTGGGCTGATTGTTTCACTCTAGTTACATACCTCGCGCGGCGACATCAAACTCGAGATCTTCTGCGAAACCGTGCCCAAAACGGCAGAAAACTTCCTCGCCCTCTGTGCCTCCGGCTTCTACAATGGCAGTCCTTTCCACCGCATGATACCCAACTTCATGATACAAGGCGGCAGTCCTGCTTCTGACCCCAAGTCCAAGACGTCGACTTCGATCTACGACACGCCCAATCAGCTCTTCGAAGACGAAATCAGGCCTGCACTCAGGCACAACGCACGAGGCATTGTGAGCATGGCAAATAAAGGCCCATCTACAAATGGAAGTCAATTCTTCATCACTTTTGCCGCGGCGCCACATCTGGACGGGAAGAACACGGTGTTTGGCAAAGTGCTGGAGGGCTGGGAAGTGCTGGATGACTTGGAGACATTGCCAGTAGACAAGAAGTCGAGACCCCAAGAAAGAATCGAGATTACAAAGGTTACCATCCATGCCAACCCATTGGCGGGGTAGATCTACACAGGGATAGGGAGGTTGCACGACGAGTCCATCGCTCACGTAGTAAAACAGGCACAGGATGTGTCGTGGAAAGAGCGAGAGAAAGTAATGCGACACCATGGCCCATACTGAGAGGTAGCATTATCAACATCATATTGGGCCACTAGATCATGTGATCCTCGACACAGGAGAAGACTGAAGCAATTGCATGCCTCAATTGAGAATGCTAGGTAATGGCTGATCGTCCAAGCCTTGGTATCTAAAGAGGCGCCGGCCCAATGCAAGAAAGAATCAAAGATCATGTCAAACGAAGACGAAAGCTCAGCTTATGCGCTCTCTGCTGTTGCGCCATTGGTCGCAGCACCATTTGTCGCGGCATGTTCCTCCTCATAACCCTCAGTCTTCATGTCAGTCAAGCCAAGATTCTCCTCTTCTTGCGCAGTACGTGCGTAGTCTTCCATCTTGATTTGTGGGTCAGGCTCCGGTGCAGTGAAACTCTGGATGTAGCTGCTCGCGAGGGGGTCTGTTAAGACGATGGTGAACTTGACTTCGCCATTGATGGCCGCGTCAAGCTGAGAGAAGAACCCAGTCCACTTGCTCTTCGAGGTCGTATCCATCGAGTCTCCACCATCAGTACTATCAAAGATCGAGGACTTCAGATCATCGCGGACTTGTGTCAAAAGACCTTCGATTGTAGTAAACCGGCCGCCCAATGTCCCAGGCTCAACGCTAAGATTCAACTCCGGACATGATAGCGCACATGATTCGGCTTTGAGGATATCACGCGAAAGGTCCTCCTTGTTATCAACGGCAACTGTGATACGACGGCCCTTCTCAGGGACCTCGCCCCCAGTCTTCACCTCGTTACTTCGATCTGCATTGCGTTAGCTCGTGAACAGTTCATGAACAACCACGACTTACATCCACAGTGGTCGCAAACAGTACTCATCAGGACGACTTGTTTGAAGTGAGGAATATTGACCATCTTCATGTTGGTGGTACAAGATTTGGTACATCCTGGGCAGCTGGCAGGAAACGAGTACACCTGGTTCTCTACAATATCGTCCGCATCCACGTTGTTTACCATAGGCGCAGTTGCTGAAGGCATCTCGGGATACATTTGCGTTGCATGATATTCTGGACGTATTTCCGTAGCTGGAGCTTCGCCACTAGTATCGGCTAAACCAAGGGCTTCATTCTGTGCCGCTGTCCGTGGGTACTCGTGTCGCGCATACTTTCCTGCATGGAGAACAGTTGGTGGTTCTATCGAGGAGTTACCGGCCGGGTCGTCGATGGTGAGCTTGAAGGGTAGCCTTTGCCCGCTTGCCATCTGCTTGATCGTCTCAATAACGCCTTGGATCTTCTCATACACCTCTGGAACGACCTGTTTTCTCTCATCCTGTTTTTGCTCCAAGTCTTGTGCGACCATGGACAGGATACCCTCGACGTTGGTCAGCTGTCCTCGGCCTGGTGGAATCTCGAGGTCGATGTCTTCCACCCGGAATATCGCTGTGTCACTCTTGATGATCTGTCGGTTCAAATCGTCGGCTGTCTCCACCTTCAGGGAGAACTTGACGCCACGCTGTTGGATCTCGCCGGCAGACTGGATCTCAGAATTTCTGAAGTGGCAGTGCGGGCATTCGAAAGACATGAGGACAATCTCGCGAAAGAACGGAATTTTTGTTAGAAGGAGCTTTGTGAGGCCCTGTGAACGATTAGCAGATATAACAAATCTTATTAACACTATACTTACATCTTCATGGCAATTCATGCAGAGACTCTCAATCTCATCGACAACTTTGGTGCCATCTACGCCATCTTCCTGCGCGCTCGCCTCGGCGACCTTGCGACCCATGTCCTCGAAGAGGTCCTTCGCAAGGCTTTGATGTTGTGCCATGATGTTGTGTCGTGTTCTGGTAATATTCGAAATTGGTAGAGGATACGATTTAGAGACGCAGTACTTGTGTTCTTGGCTTGCTAATATTTTTGAAGTGACGAAAAGGCTCGAAATTTTAGCCCCGCGGCGTCATGGCGGGGTCCCTTCTGGTGCATTCCGACGCCACCATACTCTAGAGGACCCTGCACCCTGGTTCTTTGCTCAGCCCTATCGCCTTTTTCTTCACATGGCAAAATCCATGAGGTCAAAGCCGCCTGTTCCTGTGTTCTGCGTTTTGCTCTTTTCCAGCATTGCTTGCAGGCCGCCTTTGCGAGCCTTTTGCCGCTGCTTGCTGGTCGCGTTTGCCGTCTTCATGGCTGCATTGTCGGCAAGCTTCCTGGAAACCGTAACTTCTGCAGCAGGCTCTGGCTGTGCGTGAGCTCTCGACCTCCTGATCCGTCTTGGTGGTTTTGGTGGCAGTGTTTGAATGGTCTCTCGATGACATCTCAGGCATTCAAGTGCAGTCTTGCGCTCTGGTGCAATATTGACTTTCTTGCTATCCTTGCCCTTTTGGCTCCCGCCTCCTCTTGACTGAGACCGAATCGACGTTATACATGACCATCCTGGGATCATAACATTGCCGCATGCGCCGCATATACTACGACGATACGCATCGACTTCCTTTGGCGCAATTTCTAGCTCCGCGTCTCGAACCACTTGGTCGCGCGCTCTTCCGAGGAAAGACGCCGCTGCCGGCGAAGGAACTGCGAGTAGATGAGCAGCTTCCTGGAGAAACTGTGCTCTACGCTGTTGCTCTAATTGAGCCATGGTTGATGTGGGCCGTCGATGACAGTGTAGAGGTTTGATGGGCTTCACGTGCTTCTTGCACATGAACACCCCCCAATCCATCAGGTGGAGGGCTCTGGAAATAATGACCGACCTCCGACGCTAATGCGAGTCCGTCGCGCTTTCTTCGACCTTTCAACCTCACCACTTCTTGCGCCTTATGTGCTATATACAGGATCATGTCAATGTGGTATCTTGACTCATTGCTGACCTTGGACTAATAACTCAGGCTCGCAGTCGCAGTCGCAGTCGCCATGGCATCTCCAGAACTACTCCTGAAACAAGGCCTACGCATTGCTGTGGAAGGCTGTGGCCATGGAATACTGAACGACATATATGCTTCTGTGGCAAAGGCTTGCAAACTCAAAGGATGGCCAGGTGTTGATGTCTTGATTATTGGCGGAGACTTTCAGGTACGCAAAGCAACAGAAGCAATCCGATCAGTGGCTAATCATACAGGCTGTCCGCAATGCTTCCGACCTGAAGGCTGTGTCAATGCCTGCCAAATATTATGCGATGCACGATTTCCACGAGTACTATTCGTGCGCACGAAAGGCCCCGTACTTGACCATATTCATTGGAGGAAACCACGAAGCCAGCAATTACCTGTGGGAGCTCTACTATGGAGGATGGGCTGCGCCAAATATCTACTACATGGGCGCTGCCAATGTCGTTCGACTTGGGCCCTTACGGATCGCAGGATTGTCGGGTATTTGGAAGGGATACAATTACAAGAAACCCCACTACGAGCGCCTGCCGTACAACAGCGACGATATCCGAAGCATATATCACGTTAGGGAGCTTGATGTGCGCAAATTGCTGCAGATACGATCACAGGTTGACATTGGCTTGAGCCATGATTGGCCGCGTGGTATCGAATGGAAGGGCAATTACAATCAACTATTCAAGTGGAAGCCCGACTTTGAACAAGAAGCCAAGGACGGAACTCTTGGTAGCACCGCCGCACGAATCGTTATGGAGCGTCTACGGCCTGCGTATTGGTTCAGTGCGCACATGCACGCCAAGTTTTCCGCGATCTGGGAGCATGCAGATACGCGCAACGGGCCGAATCATACGATCAACGAAGCATCCGATGCTAGCATGAAGAACGGCGAAATTGAGCTTGACTTGGAAGACGATGGGCCAGCGCCAGCACCAAAGAACGATGCTGAGATCGATCTGGACATGGACGACGAGGATGCAACGCCATTGCCGGTCCAGGCGTCATCAGGAAATGCGGAGCCATCGAGTAACCCCGATGCATCGGAGATTCCTGACGACGTACGACAACTCTTACCGGAGTCATTCGCACGTCCAAAGGCCGAGATGATACCAACTTTACCCTTTCCTGAAGATATAACGAACCAGACAACCCAGTTCCTAGCGCTCGACAAGTGCTTACCAAAAAGAAGCTTTCTCCAGCTCCTCAGCATTATACCACACAATCCCGTGGAGGTGCATCGCCCGTTGCGATTGCAATATGATCAAGAGTGGCTAGCCATTACCCGTGTCTTTGCGAATGAGCTAGAGGTTGGTGATCCGTCTGCACAAGTTCCTGCAGACAAGGGGGACGCTGCCTACAGACCGCTCATTGAGGAGGAAATGCAGTGGGTTGAAGACAATGTGATTGGTCCGGGGAAGATGACGATTCCGGATGACTTTGAACAGACTGCACCAGTATACCAAGCTGAATTGGGGATTCACGTGAAGGACTGGCCAAAAGAGTATAGCAATCCACACACACAAAGGTTCTGCGATTTGCTGCAGATCCCGAATGCATTCCATTCGTCAGAGGAAGAGCGGAGTCAATTGATGCAAGCTGGTCCTAGATCGGAGCAACAGCGCTCCAATCGAGGGGAAGGTGGACACAGAGGCGGGGGCAGAGGTCGCGGAGCCGGTCGTGGATGGGGTCGTGGCAGGGGCAGAGGCGGAGGTGGAGGTGGAGGGCAGCAAGGCATGGGGCGAGGTGGACGTGGCCGTGGCCGTGGACGTGGCCGTGGCCGTGGACGATGACATTTGGCATTGAACAGTCAGGACCACGATTACAGATACCAATCTGACATGCAACGCCTACTCCAAGTGTACAATAGACAGAACCGACAGCTGACAGGCAGAGGATCATCGACCGATACCTACCCGACAAAACGGGGCTAGCGGCCGATGCTTCCACCAGGTAGATGGAGTATGTAGTAGTACCACATAGCTACTCTAGAGTACGGTGCTCCTGCTCCCGCCATCGGCCTGTACTATCCAAAGCCAGGATGGACAGGACGAAGGGCGCAAATGAACAAGCCCGGCTTTGTCAGAGTCAGCCAGGCCCACACGGGTGCGGGACTGGTTGCTGCAGGACCCTGCGCGATGATGTCGTGGATTGTCCGATGGAAATTACATGGGCGCACTCGTGCGGGGCATGTCGACCAGCCTTTTTCGTGTGTTGCCCGGTAGTGAGTGACTGACAGCTGGTTCCAACCGCCGTCCGTCTCCCACGACAAGGCCGCGACTGGGTGAGCATTTGCAGCCAAGAGCGAGGCTGTGGAAGCAATGGTTCCTCGTCATACGTCATGGGCCGCCACAAGATGAGAAAATGTCGTATCGCACAGGGGCAGAAGAAAAGACTGCGGATTTTGGCTGCATGTGACGGCCGCTGTCTGACTGCCGGTCACGCTATGGGATTGGTCGAGAGTGGTGACACAAGTTTACTCTAGTAGTAGCAGTAGTAGTACTCTAGGTAGAGTAGTGGCAAGTGGTAGTACGCTATGGGGGTTGTCCTAGTACTCTAAGCCTGAAGATGACCCCGAAGGTCTGCTCTGTAGAGTAGTACTTTATTGGATGGCTTGGCGGGTTGTGGCGAAAGGGTTGCGCATGCTCGTCTCGTCTATAACTGCCACGACTTCCCGGCTGCAGTCGGTCCTCTGGCGCAGATGACTGGGTGCAGAAGGTGTTGCGCACATGACTTGATACAGAAGGTGGAGGCAAATGCGCGCATGTGCCTACTGTGGTATATACTTGTACTATTGTAGGCATGTGCCGTACGTACAGGTATAGTAGAGTACTTGCAGAAATTGTGTTGTGTGGGTCGCAGATGCATCGGCCAGGGACCTAGTAGTACTGCTGTAGTACGACAAGTACATGGAGGAAGGGGGCAAGAGAGAGAAAGAAAGGCTTGCGTCTGCCATCGGCGTGGAGGACCAAAGACCGAAGAGCTGGGCCAGACTCTTCTTGCAGGGACGCGAGGGGATGATGCTATTTCGAGACGGTGAAATGCACAATGCGGTGCGGCGTACTCTACGACGGTAGGGGTGGTGGCACGCCGTTGGGCACGACAGGGGCCGCTCACACAAAGGGTTGCAAGGAAAAACAGGCGGCGTGGTGTCAGCAGCCGTGGTCCAGCCCTGGGTCTGCCAATTCGCCAATTCCGCCAATCTCCGCCAACCGCCCCTTCGCCTAGAGTAGTCCGATGACTGTGTATAGTACGTAGTAAGTAGAGTAGAGTAGAGTAGGCATCTTCCATCTTCCCACCCGAACCCGCCATCGTCAATCCCTGGCTTTAACGATTCCCCCAGAGATCGGCACTCCAGAGACCCTGGGCCGGCTGGCCTGCCCCCCCAACGTCCGACTGTGTGTCCACATGCACTCCCACTCCTACTACATTGACCTTTGAGAAATATTTAAAACTAAGCTTCGCCCTCACATGCGAACGGCTCTGGTTCCCGTAATCTACCATAGATCCTCACTTCAAACCACCATCGGCTCTCCTTCTTTCTCAGGCAAACAACCTTTGCAGCCCGTATACTTTGACTCGTCGTAGCCTGGAACCATCAAGAGAAAGCACGCCACCCTACATAAACGTCATCCCTATATCACGTGCATCAATACCATCCTCCTGCCCATTGGACTGGATACAAGTACCCCCCATTCTTCCCTCCTCTGGACCTGCCTGTTTGTATTCACACCCGGCAAACAACTACACACCTACACTCCTGCAATGGCCTCTCGGTTCGTTGAAAACCTGGACACGGTCTCAACCATCTCCCACCCTCATCTCAACGTCTCACTAGAAGACATCCTTGCCGAGGAAGGCCGTAAGCGTTCATCTTCTCAGTCGTCAGAGAGTTCGCAAACCGCTGGCCGCCGATCGGGAAGCGAGTCGGTTGCAAGTCCCACATCGCCCACCAACGAGAACAAGATGGACACCATTCGCAGGCGCGCTTTTACTCTTGGCAGCAAGAAGGGTCGACGAGCATCGTGAATGAAAGGCCACTGTCAGCATCAACAACAGCAAGCACATGTCACATTCACCTTTACCATCGTCGAAAACACACGATGAGGATACCCATCTTATGACCCCCTCAACCCAGTATTGGAAGAGCCAGGTACCCCATGATAGCTTTTGAGCCGTGGAAGGAACTCCCGTTGCCAGTATGCTCAACACGACCCTCCGCGTGGAAGATGACAACATCTCTAGGATACGTATACGCCAGTGCAGGTAACGTCGGTCGTCCTCGAAGTCATGGGCCGATTGAGCACCGAATCTGTACGCCGGAAGGCGGGACTGCTGCTGAAGGAGGTAATGGATTGGGGGAGATGGACATGGTTTCAATAGAGGCGTGCATCCCAGCAATACCTCCATACACATACATAATACATCAAGTGAAAACATGCATTACCATCACCCTTTTGAAATGGATCTTTGCAAGCGAGGGTTGACGCATGCTATGAGACATATCTCGAGACTTGCACCTTCCGCGAACGGGCACAGAGAAAATGTTCCTCGCCAAAGTCGTGACTGCTAACCACGGCAACAATCCAATCGAGCACCTCTCGTCAACACCGTCACTCTCACATCCATCACTCTCACATCCATCACCCTCACATCCATCACCCTCACATCCATCACCCTCACATCCATCACTCTCACATCCATCACCCTCACATCCATCACCCTCACATCCATCACTCTCACATCCATCACTCTCAAATCAGCACTCTGTCCTCTCGCACACACACCCAACCGCCGACTTCCTAAAACATATATTCCTATCCCACGTATTTATTTGGACAACGACATGACCACATCCACCACCCCAAACCTCATTGCGACACTCGAGTCCTACCTTAATCCCGCCCTCACGATAGACTCCAGCTCTGCTACCCCAGCCGACAAGACCCTGCCCGCCCTCCACCTTCTACCCTCGTCCACTCTGTCCAAACTCCGTAATCTCGGTCCGGCTCGCGTGAAAGATATGCGTCTCGTTCTCGGCCAGGCCCGCCAGGTCATCTCGCATGTACCCATATCAGCATCACCGCAAGTGTGCGCGCGGTGCAATGATGCGTTGTACGCGGCGGTACGGCTCAATGGTGAGAGATTTTCGGGGCTGGCGATGTTGCCGGGGGGGAGAGGTGAGGGGAGAGAAGCAGCAAAGGAGTTGCAAAGATGTGTTTCCAAGTATGGGTTCGTGGGGGGTGTTGTTGGGCTGAAGAGAGGGGATGGTGGAGAAGGTATAGTGAGCGATGGGGGATGGGAGGAGGTCTGGGGAACGGCGGTGAAATGCAGGGTGCCCATTGCCCTGAGGGAGTTGTGGCCGTCGAGTGCGGAGGTAAGATACCACGACTACAGTCACACAAGAAAAGGCCGAGTTGATGAAGGACTAGATACCAAACTACCAGCGCAACCTACCAGACACTGCCATGGCTCCCATCCTCACGCACCTACATACGTGTCATTCTGCCTCGCCTCTACCATTCCTCCATATTTACCTTGGCGGCATCTTCGATCGCCATCCCAGCCTCCGTCTCATCCTTTGCCATCCAGGCGCGCTGCCTTCCCTCCTCCCGTGCATCGAGAAGCTGCTGTCGAGCATCCCTGAAGCAGATAAACCCAAACGCTCCTACCTCGACGTCTGGCAACACAACATTTACCTTTCGACGGCAGACGTGCAAGAAATGTCCAGCATGAGATCTTTGCTTGAACTGATTCCCATGGACAGGGTCCTGTACGCCAGCAACTATCCACTGGAAGAGAGGGGAAGGACACTAATGGACGAGCTGCGCGAAAGCGGGTTTTTGACAGAGACGGAGTGGGAGAGGGTGGCTTGGGAGAATGCGGAGGCGCTTTTCGGACTGAAGAAGTGCGTGGAGAGCAAAGAGGGGATGAAGCAGAAGAGTCTGGCAATACCTGGGATAACAGTTTCGTATTCTACAGGGATCACCGAGTGAGGGAGAAGGAGATCTTGTGAGCGTTGGGTTAGTGGGGGAAGAAGATCATCAAGACCTATAAAACCAGTGGCCAAGCACACAACATACAACGAGATTTTTCCATAGATCATGGCCCCATGCATTTTCGTGGTCTATTTCAACGCCGCCCAGATCATCATGACGCTAAACCCTTTGGTATCTTTCCCAAACGTCGCAGCACTGCATGCACACATTGTCCAGTCATCTTCCCCCACACCCCTGCAACGCTTCATTTCTTGCCAGACTTCTTGATGCCCTGCGAGCCCGTGTTTAGAGGGCCTTTGCCCTTGCCCACCGTCTTTGCGAGTTCAGCTTGCGCTTTTTTGTCTATTCGTGCCCCAAGAAAAGTGTATATTAGTGGTACTGTATTTTCAGCGTCCCCCTTGTGGCCCTTGTGGGGGGCGGCAGTCGGGGTATCAAGGGAGATTGTGGGCTCGTTTTTTTTTCTTCTTTTCCTTTTTTTGGGTCTCCGTCGAGACAGGGAGGATGGGATGGGATGGGACAGGATAGGATGGGATAGGACAGGATGCAAACGTACCAGCAGCAAGCTTAGCCTTGTGTGCCAGGTCGTCCTCGTCGAGTTCCTGAGCCTTCTTCTTGGGCTTCTTGTTATGGATCGGGTTCGTACCAGCTGCGCGCCTGCATGTTAGCCTGCGTTGCGTGGGAGATGGTGGGGTGGTATGAAGGGCAGGGACAATGTCGTGGCCGTGTTACAACATACCTCCTTGTCCAGACGGCATCTTGCAGGCGTGTTTGCGAGGCGGTTTACTTTGCGGAACAAAATTGTGGTTCTGGACAATCGTATTGGAGGAGAGACGGGGGCCGGGAAGGTTGCGGGCGGTGAGGGGCGCTGCCCAGGTGTCTCTGATGGGTGAGGGAAAATAAAAGTGGGATGATGCTGCGCCACTTGGGCGGATGTGCGTGGTCTTGTGGTCGTTGGTGGTGGCTGAGGTTGGAAGGCCACGTGATGTAGGCACGTGATTCCACGTGATTTTAGCCACGTGCCTGATCTGTTGGGCGTACTATATGGATACGGTGTTATACGTGGGCAACCAGTAGATTTCAGATTGATTGAGGCAACGCACGCGCGCCGGTCCAGAGAAATACCGCAATGCAACCACAAAAGCCACCGTCATGTTGTTTCTTCATCGTGCACAATCAATGACGGCACTGACTCGGTGTCTACTCTACCTGCGCATGCAACTACATGGTGAGACAAAAGTGTGGCCGGTAGGTACCAGAATCGCAAGGGAGTACATGTATGTACAATATGGCTGTACGGCGGACTCAGTTCGGAAATTTCAGGAACGCGGCAGCATGGCTCTTGTTTGTGGTTCAATGAAGGGTATCAGGGATGTTGGCGGTTTACAGCAGTTTACAGAGTGGTGACTTTCATCGACTGTCTGTACGCAGGCGAACCCAATATCGATGCGGCCGATCGACGTGTAGGTAGCATTCCCGTGTGCGTGCGCCTCCCAGCAGTTGAACACGACCGTCCGTCATGTCAGGTTATCGACCCACCGCTAGATAGTAGTTACTCCACACCCGCTGCTGATAAGAAACTCCCTCATGGCCCCATGAAGCCTCACACATGGTCTTCTGTTGCACATATCCGAGGAATACAAAAATGTGCGAGAAAGAAGAACAAAAAACAATTCAATAACTCTGTAAGGTGGCTTCGAGTATGTGAGAAGCGGGCTGACTTGCACTCGCAAGAGAAATAAGCAAGCCCAGAGAAAACGCCACATGCTTTGTTTCGCCGCGAGACGAAGCTTGAGCTGCTTACCGTGGAGACCAAAAAAACAAAGCCAACTACCAATTCGGGTCGACATCTCCGCTAATCCTCGCTCTTCCGGGGTTAGTCACGGCGAGCTAAGCGTGTCTTCGCCCATGCTTTCGCAGTTCGCAGGGCCCCCTTTGCCCGCAAGAAGAAATTCTCCCCTCGATGCACACGGCCGCTGTCGTTCGTGTCATTCGTGGAAAATCTAGAGAGCGGGCTTGCATACAGTAGGTGGAATCCTGACGCCCGTCTCAAACATGGTATGGGGCCCCAGATTCGCAGTGAATGGAGTAAACGACGCCCAGCTTGGTGGGAATTGGCACTAGGGCAAGCTTTTGAGGCGGCATTGGCAAGGTGATTCGTGTGAATAATGTTGACGAGGTGATATTCAGGCCATGCTAGAAACCGGGGTTGGGCGTTCCTAGCCCATGGGGTACGGGAGGGTATGACAGGGTATGATAAAGTGGGAACTGCTTGCCCCTGCTATCTAGAAATAGCTGTGTATATATACTGGTACGGTGTCCCTACTAGGATTTCTCCTCGTCTTTGGTCAAACTACCGACCTCGCTGTGGAGTGGAAGCCAACCACTCGCCGTCAAGTACAGGACGCTCTTTAATTCTCTAGGTCAAGTCTGGAAGAACAACGGTCAAGATGGTGGACAAGACAAGAGTGTACAATTGGTATGCATACCTCTTTGTTGCATGACTGGACTATACTGACATCAACAGGTACATTTCGCTCGTTGCAGCGTCATGCATGGTGCTCTACGGTTACGATGCGTCTGTGTTCAACGCGCTTCAGAACTCGAAGCACTGGATTGCGTATTACAATAATCCCGGCCCCAACATCATCGGGGCTATCAACACCTCGTACACCGTCGGTGCAGTGGTAGCTGGTTTCTTCATGGGCGGTCCCCTTGCCGACTATGCTGGTCGTAGGGTCGGTATGGCTACCGGCGCGGTGGCCGTCATAATCGCCACATTTATGCAAACATTTGCCCCCCGTGGACAAATTGCCGTCTTCATCGCTGGTCGTGTTCTCATCGGTATCGGCCAGGGTCTAGCACTGAGTAGGTTGACGGAAGATAGATGAAAAGAAATGATGAAGCTAATCGTTGCACAGCGGCTGGTTCCATCTACATTGGTGAACTGGCGCCCTCGGAGATCCGTGGAAAGATCATGTCTTTCTGGCAAATGTTCTACTCGGTCGGTGCCTTCATCGCCTACTGGATCAGTTTCGGGACCTCGAAGCACCACAAGGGTCTCGGCGAGTGGGACTGGAAGATGGTGGTCATCTTCCAGCTGCTTATGCCGTTTCTCATCGTCTCGCAAGTCTTTTTCATTCCAGAGTCTCCACGTTGGTACGTGCAAAAATCGAGGAATTACGAACAGGCACGCCAGTCTCTGCGCCGTGTCCGCGAGACCGATGAGGCTGTCGAAGAGGAAATCACCACGATCCGTGAGGCCATTGAGTTTGAAGCCGAGGCCATCTCCTCTGGTTACTCTGCTCTCTGGAAGGACAAGTCTGTCCGCAAGAGGATGTACATTGCCATGATCATCAACGGCGGCCAGCAAATTACCGGACAAGGAACACTCAACTCGTACAGCTCCATCATCTACAAGAAGGTGTTCAAGAACTCCGACACGATTGCTCTCATCAATGCACTCAACGCCACTTTTGGTATCATCTTCACGCTCAACGCCACCTGGACTGTCGATCGCTTTGGCCGCAAGTTCCTTTTTATTGTTGGTGGTATCGGCATGGGAGTCTGCATGTTGATCGCCGCCACGGTGGAAACGCAAACCCCAACCTTTGACGGCGCCAAGACTCAGCCCGTGGGAATTGCCATCGTCTTCATCATGTTCCTCTTCGCCTTCTTCTGTAAGCCACTCCCTTTGTCCTTTACGCCTCCCTGCCCCTATCCTATCTCGCAATGACTAACAAACCCGACCACAGACAAACCCTCCTGGGGCGCCACCGTTTGGATCTTCACGGCCGAAATCTTCTCCATGAACATCCGCGCGCAAGCCGTGGGCATGTGCTCGCAGACCCAAAACGTCGTAAACTCGATTGTCCAGCAATTCTTCCCCATTTTCCTCAAGAACGAGGGCTTTTATGCGTTTTACATGTTTGCAGGCATCAACATCCTGCTCGCGGTGTTTGTCTGGTTCTTTGTGCCGGAGACGAAGAAGGTATCGCTCGAGGAGATGGATGCTGTGTTTGGCGGGAAGAATCATGTTGTCGAGGGTGCGGCCATTGAAGCAAAGGATCCGACGAGGAATGAGAGTGTTGTGGTGGGTGGGGAGAAGGGGGTTGCTGAGAGGAGGGTATAGGGGGGTTTTATGAATGTATAATGTTCCATGGTATTGTTTTGTGTTGCTCGTTACGGCGGAGTTGGTACTGTGGACTCAGGAATGGTAATCTTGCTCCCTCCAGCGCCATTCATGATTCGTGCTTTGAAGGCAGCCTGGCCTAGAGTTGAGGCTAGCCCGAGTGGACTGTTGTCGGTCCATCCTATTTTCCAGCACTCTAGGTCCAGTCGGCGACTCATTGGAAAAGGCATGTGGCCGTACGCAGCAGCCGACGCAACCGCCTGGGCGACACGGCTTGAAGTTGGAGAGCAAGTACTTCTAGATGAGGACTGTGCCAGGCTTCGGAGCACGTGGACATGCTGGATTACCGTGGAAAGGTAGAGTAGGTAAGACAAAGAAAGACGTCAACAGAGGCTGCCGGCGGAAGAGGAGCGAAAAGAGCAGGGCAGGGGTCCAACTCTTGCTATGTGGCGCTGACTTGCCGGCGTTCGTGTGCGGGGCTAAAGACCGGGGAATCCAAAGGGACATTCAAAGCGAGCGCCCACGCGACCCCCAATTACTCTACATACACATAGCAAGTAGTCTTCGTACTTGTCCTACTCGTCGACTTTCAACTCTTAGGCCTCCTTCCCATACTATCCCCATACGCATACACTGGGCAGATACTGCTCTTGTCTGTCTGTCCCCGCCTGCAGCCTCTTGCCAGCAATTGACCCCTCGGTACCTACGTGAGACCCACCCCGTCTTCTTCTCCCTCGACCACGCCTGCCCCTTCACATGCCGCCGACAACCGCCCTTTCTTTCTTTCCCCACCTCTTCCTCTTCCAACCCACGACATATCTCTCCAGTCTCTCACAAGACCCCATCCACCACCACACGTGCACTGACAGGCGGCCTGCAGTACTTCTCCGACCATGAACAAAGCGCAGTCACCGTACGATTCGCTACGGCATATTGCGCAGTACTACGACAACAAGGACTCCCACAACTCCGCACTGAGTCTCATCCTCACGCTGCGGCCTGAATGGAAAGACTCGCAGGACACAATTGAGTTTGTCCGATTTACCGATGGCATCACGAATACGGTAGGGAGCCCTTGCCTTTTGCCTGCTCTCAAGTGGACGTTCGAGTGGGCTTCGGCTAACACAGTCAACAGCTCCTAAAGGCGGTGAACAAGCTACCCGGTCTGTCCAAAAACGAGGTAGATGAGGATGCGATATTGCTGCGGGCATATGGCAAGGGGACCGATGTGCTCATAGACCGCGAGAGTAAGCAACGCTACATGAAAACATGGCCCGAGACTCACACGCCGTGCAGAGGAAACACGATCCCACTCCCTCCTCGCACGTCACGGCCTCGCGCCTGCTCTTTATGCTCGGTTTGAAAATGGTCTGCTGTACAAGTTCATTCAAGGCAGCGTGTGTGCGCCCGCTGATTTGCGACGGCCCGAGGTATGGCGAGGAGTAGCTCAAAGACTGGGGGAATGGCATGCTAGATTACCTATATCGAGCATTAGCAGCACATGTCCCGCACCATCACAACTCACTCCCACCAACAAGCGTGCCTCACTGGCAGCCATGGCCGAACTCACGCCAGGCAAGCCTGTTCCCAATGTGTGGACCACGATGCAGAAATGGATCGAAGCGCTACCAACAAGCACCACCGCGCAATCCATCCGCCGAGACGAGCTGATGACCGAGTTGGAGAGCCTGACCAAGATGCTGGGCGATACGCCTGGTGTCGGCGGCTCCAACGCGTTTGTCTTCGCCCATTGCGACCTCCTCTCTGGCAACGTGATCATCGAACCCGCGCCGACGTCTGCTGCGCACTCTCGCCGATCCAGTGCATCGGGGGGCTCTGAAGAACCCGAGACGGCAGCCTGTGTGTCTTTTATCGACTACGAATACGCCACGCCTGCACCGGCTTCGTTCGACATTGCGAACCACTTTGCCGAGTGGGGTGGTTTTGAATGTGACTACAGCGCCATGCCCACGCGCAAGGTCCGCCGTGCCTTTTTGCGCGAGTACCTGCGCAGCTGCAGCGCGCACCAGAACCGCAGCTACCAGGACGCCGAGCTCGAGGAGCTCTTTGAACAGGTGGACCGGTTCCGCGGCGTGCCCGGCTTCTACTGGGGCATCTGGGCCCTTGTCCAGGCGCAGATTTCGCTCATCGATTTTGACTATGCGAGCTACGCCGAAGTCCGTCTCGGCGAGTACTGGGCCTGGAAGAAGACGGTGACGGGCGAGACGAGCGGCGAGGAATCCGAACGGGAGAAGCGCTGGGCGCAGGAGGAGTGAAGGTTGAATCTGTCGTGGTTGTCGTTGTCGTGCTACTACTGCATCCCTTGTGCATTGAGCGGTTCCCCCTTTTTTTTGCTTGCTTGCTTGACCCTACGCATCCATCACCCCAAGACGCTTTTTCTCACACCTCTGAATCAGCGCTGGAGCGCTTCGACGATGTTATCTGGTGGGAGTTTCTTTTCTTCTTCTTTTCTTTACACCTTCATCATTATACTCTAGAAATATCGGACTTTCTTTTACAAGACGTTTAATACCACTTTTTTTGGCGCTCTTGAATGGAATTTTACGCTTTGATTGGGTTTGAGTGAGAGTGTGAGGGCTGGGGTGTGTGGTGATGGGGGATTTGGAGGGTTTGGGTTGGTTGGTGGGTACTTTGGGGGGAGGTGTAGGGGATGGTTGCAGTTTTTCCTGGGATAGGCAGTGGTGGGTTGTGGGTGGGGTTGTGATTGGGTTTGTACTGGTTTTTGCGTAGATTTTTGGTCGTGTTTGGGTTTTTGGTCGTGTCTACGGTTTCGCTCCTGTCTACCTTTTACCCCTCCCTCCCTCCCTTATCATCATCTAATCATCCCTATCAAGCCATCCCCCACGCACAATCCCGCAAGCACTCACACATGCATTTCCATATTTCTATAATCCTGAAATGTTGTATTGCGGTGTGGGGAGTAGCGCAGCGTAGGGCAAGGAAATCATAATGTAGGGATTTCTATACACATATCTACACACACATGTACGGATTTGTACTACTATTATTCCCTAGACGTACATGTTTAGCCATGACTGGGTAACACTATTTAACCCACCATGTCCTGGTTCATCCTATTTCAGCCTATTTCATCCGTTCCTAGACTCTGGACTCTGGACTCTGGACTCTGGTTAACAGTACAAGTACAACAAGTTCATGTCCGCTAGAGAAAGATGTGTATAGGGATATCTCTGAAACTGCTCAACCGATCGACTATTCGACTGGAAAAAAAAAAGAGAATGATATAGTCAGCATCAGCATTTAAATTATAATCGTCGCCGCAAGTCGAAATATCTATTCCCACTTCACACCCCCCCCCCCCCCCCCAATCCCGCCTCTCGCCTCTAAAAAAAGACGGAGAAAAGTAGAATAGTAAAGACGGAGAAAAGAAAAAAGACACGAGTTCCAAACCCCTCGGAGAGAGGATGGAGAAAAAGATGCGACCAGATCAGCCAGCCATTCCGACTTTATACGCCCATGATTCCTTTTTGATAAAACATGCCGTTTAACCCTTGATTTCCATACCCATACCAGTACACCCTTCATCCAATCAGACAGACACCCAAAAACATCCAAAAAAAACACATCATTTCTCATAACACCATTCTCCTCAAACCTCAACCCCCACCCCCTCTCCCCCACCAAACCACTCCCCATCCCCGACAAGCCCAAACCCACTCTCCATAACCCCATCATCAAACGTAAACGTCTCCCCCACGGCATCCAAATTAAGCAAAGACCCAAAATCCGCATCGTCAAACTCGTTGCTCGTGAGCGGGAGGCTGGAGAAGAGGAATTCGTTGTCGTGGTGGGGGTTGAACTTTGCAAACGGGTTTGCGTTTGCGGTTGGGTTTGGGGAGAGGTCGTCGAGATGCCATTTTTCGTACGAGGGGGGGTTGGCGAGGGGGTTGCTGGATGTGGATGTGGATGTGGATTGGGGTGCGGGTGCGGTGATGTGGGAGACGGGGCTGTCTTGGGAGATTGTGATGCTGGGCATGTGCTCGTGATCTGATTCGGGAGGGGTGGATGCCAAAAAGGTTTCGAGGCGGCGGGCGACTTCTTCGTCGGTGACGTTGCGCTCGTTGTGCTGTTTCTCCAGCGCAAGCATGTTGGTTGTGCCGTTGTCTGGGGGAGGCGTGAGTGTCGAGCGATGTGGGGCCTGTGACGAGCCGGGTGCGCCGTTGACGAGATCGAGGCGTCTCCCTGCGTCCACGAGGTCTTCGACCGAGGTCACGGGCGATGGCTTCACGACCGGTGTTGCTTGGGCGGCCAGAGGAGCAACGTGGATGCCGGCTTTGCGGATGGCGGCTTCGAGGAAGGCGACTGAGTAGTCGGCTGCAGCGTACAGATCGCGCAGTTTACCCATGACGGCCATGCATTGACAGAATCCACGGAGGGACGAGCGGCGCGTCTCTTCTTCGGGTGCCTTGATGTCCAAAAGGTGGATTATGATGGCGGGTAGCAGGACCGTGACGCCAGTCGTTGGCAGGTATTTGACCAGGCCAGCAGTGTCGAGACGCTGAGCGAGCGAGGTGATTGCAGATGCGGCGCGGCGAACGTTGCGCCTCGAAACATCCAGGAGATCTGACTCGACATTGGCCTTTGCAGGCGTGCTGGCTGGGCCGGCGTGCGAATTTGGTAGCACTTGGGGTCTGTGGAGTGCGGAGAGCGTTGTGAAGAAGACCATATGTAGTAGTGACCTGGCCAGGTCAATGGCTCCAATTCCACTCAAATTTTCACTATATTGCGCCTCCTCTGGCAATTCTGAAACCCACTTCTGCAACTCCTCGTCACAAGACCGGACTTCGCTGGTTTCCGGGTCGAGCTTCTTCGGTAGCAGCATCATCGTCGTGCGGTCGTTCTGAAGACAGTGGTTGTTGTTGAGCACGCAGTATTGCTTGGACAGGACGTGGGATATACAGAGACAGAGTCTGGCCTTTTCTATGCACATGATCGCTAGCTGTTTTTGAAGACCGGCATCTCTGGCAACGCGGCACTCAGCTGGGATACAGGTGACGGAATCGGGAATGGGCGTGAGTTCAAAGTCATCGAGTGTCAACATGGGAACGTCGAAGTCTTCAGATTTTATCCGTGTCGGCCGTCGCATCCCGAGAGCGATGAGGCGGTCTCGCATGTACGTTGACCACCAGATCCGCTTCCACAGCTTCACACGCTTACTATCGAGATTAGTATTGTCTGGATTGCGATGGAGGCCAATGGTATGTGCGACCGATGTCGCGACACCCATCCAATGCCATGTATCCTTTTGGTCGTCGGGCGTCTCGTAATAATATGTCAATAATAGCAAAGCCTGGACCAGCGAAACACGATCCGACTCGTAATCGAAATCGTATAGAATCTGTTCACAATCTTAGCCAATATTCAGATGATATTTGTCGGATGCTCGCCAACGGATTTTTCCGGACGATCGCTGGTATCACGGATTCCAACAATCCCGTCACTGCGTCGGTGGTAGAGCCTCGGCCGAGCTGTGCCAAGACACCAACAAAGGGGAGCTTTGCTTACCCTGGTCTTTTGGAAGAAGTCTTTCCGTGCCGCCTTTCGCGTAGCATACCCTGCAGTATGTAGATGTTGCATATCGATGAATGCGGAGCCGGCAAACATGACGGCTTGGAATAGAATCAGGCTGACTTTGCCATTGCTACCATCTGCACGGTCAATGACGGTGAGGAAATCATACAAGTCTAAGAGCGGCATGTATGGGTGAACGAAGTCAATGTAAGCGCGAAGCATCTCACTGCGGAGAGTTCCTTTGGGCACTGTCAAGGCTCCTTTCTTCTCCAAGTAGGAGATCTCGTCTGGTCCAATCTTGGCTGGTAGTGGTTTGATGAACCTTGGCAATTCAGGCGAGGATGCTTTTGAGGGTATGTTGCCAAAGAAAGGGGCTCGTGTTTCGCTGCCGCCATAGGGTGTGAATGGTAGTGTAGGGAGACCGTTGATTTGCGATGTGATGGAAAGCCGACGTGAGATGTCTGAAAAGCTGGCGATTGAATTGATGCGGTTTCCATGGCTCTGATCTGTGAACCAGTCAATATGAATTATTTTTCTCATTTTGCGCGCATGCCGAGACTGACATATGGAATGAGGCACATGCTCCTCGCGGCGCGATTCCGCATCCTGTGACGCTCGCGACGATCCTGAATTGAGACTCTGAATGCTGTCCAGGGCATCGCGCGAAGCGAGTTTGCGGTTGGCGTTTGCAGCCGAACTTGTGCTTTCCACGAGCTGATCGTCATCTTTACTCCATTTCCTACAATAACGTCAGTGAGGTGCATTTGTGGTGATGGTGGTAGTGCTGGTGGTGCTCCAACGCCCATCATTGGCTCCCGGGGTTGCGGAAATGGCATGATCATGCGTTGAAAAGTGGCTTGCCCAGAACTACCGAGCCTCGAGCAACTTCGCATGACGACAATGGACAAGACGAGCATCGCATCCTCACCGCATTGCTCGACATGGGTTTCGGCGACTCCTCGTAATGTGGGGCATTCTTCTTCTTCTTCTTCTTCTTCTTCTTCTTCTTCTTCTTTCTTCTTCTTTTGAAACGGCAACAGAATGAGGGTTAAACTCACTTTTTGCGCCTGCTCTCCGAGACAATGCACTCGACTTCGTCTAGCCGGCAATTGGTGCAGGGCGCTCCATGTTCGGTGACATTGCATCTGACTTTGCGAGCTCGACAGCATTGACAGGCCTTGGACGCCCTTCTCTTGACCGACCGTCCAGTGTGATGTCCGTCCAAACCAGCTTGGGTGGCTTTTCGCTTGGGAGGCTGGATGTCATGGTGATCCGACGGCGATGCAGAGTAATCAGACATGGTTGTTTGGGCTGTTGTCGTCTGAAGAATTGCCGATTTGGGATGGAAGGGAGGGGAACAACTTTGGGGAAAAGCTGAGAGGGGCACGATTCACATGTGAGGAGGGGGGGTCTGGGGCAGGCAAAGAATATGTATGGCAGGAAATCTCTCAGATGTGGACACTCGGTGTCAGGACTAGTCGCGTGCTTGGGGCATGCTCACAAGCCGCGATTCATCTTGGTGCGCTTTTAACGCTCATGACGCCCGTCGCCGTCCCCACTGGGGATGTTTAGTGAATGCCCCAGTCCCCAGACATGCATCTTCGGCGCTATGCCCTTGGCGACGAAAGCGCCGGTTCTTCTCGGACGCCTTCGGGACAAAGGCCTCAAAGGAGGTGGACCGCCCTGGCCCATCTCAGCTAAAGGGACAGCTAGGTAGGTAGGTATATCACAGCATGTCAACTGTGGTCGCTTGCACACGTGCACAGAGCCGCCCTCTCTTCAGAATGCTCTTCCATCATCGCTGCTGACCCGGACGACATAATCACATGTGGTCATGCACCGTAGCAGGCCCGTGAGCGCCAAGCCATGGGTCAAGGACATGCGCCCTACAGCGCTGCTTTGGACTGAATCTTAGGTGCGCTCTCGTCTTGGCTTGGGGGAGGGGGGGTGGCAGACTTGGAACGGCCGAGCGATGGAGAATGTGGGGTTCAAGGCGCAGTCGAAGCATGGCTGGCCTCTTCCCCAGCTCTCGAGAAAGCGAGATCGAGTCTGGAGCGGGATCTTGGTGGGTGGAAGGGCGAGCGCGGAAATGGTTTCCCGTCGCTGTGGCCTGATTGGTTGTCCGGAAAACAGGCTGCCAATCAGCAGCCTGGAACTCTCTGGACCTCGTAGCCGAACCGCTAAGCCTTTCTCGGGCCCACGAACACACACACACACACACACACACACACACACACGCACACGTGATGTCTACACTCAGGGCCGCTCACCATGTTTCTGCTTTGCAGTCTCTAGAGTCGATCATCGGAGACGGGAGACGAGAAACTAGCTCCGATGGGTGACCAACTCGAAGAAGACATGGGTGCGCCGTCAAGACGAGAAGACGAGAAGGTACTGTGCATGCTCGAGTGTGGTTGTGGCGCGCTGGCCTGGCGGGGTTGGCTGATTGCCCAGTGGCCTGAGGAGGCTGTTCGGTTCCTCTCTCCGTTTGTGCGGTGGTGACAAAGAAAAGGGTGGAAGCTGCAAGTGTGTGAGCTGAGCAGTGAGCAGTGAGCAGTGAGCAGTGAGCAACAGCCATTGGCCAATTCAGCTGGACAAACGGAAAAGGACATGGGTGACCGGAGTTCGGTGCAAGGGCAAGGCAGTGGAAATGGGCATGGTACACATCACCACCTACTCGGTACAGCAATAGGGAGATCCAGTAAGGCTGCACTGAGCAGGTGCGGCATGTCCTTTTTAGTGTACCATCCTACCCTGTCCCATGTAGTAGCACGGGTGTGTCAAAAGGACTGCAGCTGGGCAAACCGCACTGAACCAGTGGAGGTGAGGTGGAGGAAGAGGAGAAGGATGCTCTTCTTGACTGTGGGGGACGCTTACCCCATCTCGGTGAAGACTCGGACCTCTTGTCTCCAACCCGTGACGCCAGCCCGTTGGCACCTCCGAGCCCGAACAAGCCACACCACACCACACGGCACATGCAGGAAGAAGGAGGAAGAAAAAACCCGACTGAGTAATACACTACATCTCGGCCTGTTCCAGATCATGGGCTCCCCAGCTGTGCTTTTCCTTGCTCCTGCATACAGTATCTATTTTGACAATACCATCAGCCAGCGATCTGCTATTTCCGACCTGCCCGCTGCTGCCTATCCGTGCCACCGGTAGGACAGGACAGGACAGGACAGGACAGGCCCTGGTAGGGAATTAGCGGACGCCCAGGTGTGGATATTGGCGGATACATTGATAACATACAACGTACTCTACAGGAGACATGGACCATCCGCTTACCATGACAACCCATTTCACCTTTTCCTCACCACCCACAAGAGCACGCGCAAATCTGTTTCAACCCACAGACGCCCTCGCACCAACGTGGCTTGCAGCAAATCCCACCGAGAGAGCCCTGAGCCTCGCCTCGGCCGAGGAGGTCGCATATGCCAGAGCCCAAGCTTGTGTTTGGGAAAAAAACGGAGCATACAAGGTAGACCCTGATCACTCATCCTGCACGATCCAGACTGTGTCCTTGTAGGCTAGGTAGGTACTGTAGGTAGCTACCCGTGTACCTACCTGTATACCTACCCTACTCATCTGCCAGCAGATGGCTGCCAGACCTACACAGATGCCCTCACCCCTCCACAATGTGGGGACGGGATCATCCGGGTGGAAGATGGCATCCACCTGCTGGGTCCCCCTCCCCCCCACTTCTAGATCCCCTCATTCCCATCGGGTTTGGCATGCTGCATCATCCATCATCCATCATCCATCATCCGCCATCATCCAGCCATGAATACCCAGTTCCAGTACTACATCACCCTGCCGCCATCATAAACAGCCCCAGACAGCCCTGTCAAAGACATGAATCTATAGCCACTATGACAACACCACCTCGACTCCATCCCCCCTCCTATCAATCCGCGCTCTCAACCCTGCAATGTCGGTCTGTTGCATCTCTTCCTGAACCATAGCATCCGTCTTTTGCTCCATATCCTTGAGCGACGCCATCAAGTCTCTCGAGTTGGCCATTTGCAGAAACATGGACCAGGCATTGCCGAGCAGTGTCAGGTGTGTCTTCTGGATGAACAATATGACCAGCACCACCACGATGAGAAGATGTGCAACCAAGGTCCACATGAGCAGCATCAGCCCAAGTCTCGTTTGAGGGTAGAAAACGGTGGTGAAGAATGATGTGGTGACATTATCCAGACGATCAAAGGCAGGCTGTTGGCTGTAGTAATTCGACATGGACAGCACTGTAATCAGAGAGGATAGCGACCAAGCCACCGATCCTGTAGACTCCATGGTGTTTACAAAAATGGCTGCCAGTGCCGGGTCCGCGGCAATGGTTTGTGTCGGCGCCTCTGAAAAGTTATTGAGCGTAGTAATCAGAGGTTGACCGTTCAGGAAGATACTCCAGTTCTCTGGCAGCGGCGTGTTGGCCCCGTACCCCGCGGCAGAACTACCTGATGCGTCGCTCTGTACGAGTGGGCGCTCCTCTTTGGGTGGCAGATCGCCACGGAAGCTGTGCGGCTTGGCCATCTCAAGTATCTGGCGTTTTGCCCGCCGTTGAGGTAGCAGATGGTTTAAAATGTCCGAGGTTTTGAACGTTTCCCACCATTGAATCAATGGCTCCGTTCGATTCGATGTACTGGAAAGCTCAACATCCAGGATGGATGCATCCCAGGGGGCAAAGCACAGTGATAGAGATGCGCCTGTACCTGTACCATTGGCGAACTGAACATTGAGCCACTCTTCCCCAGGATCGCGGTACCAATCTAGTCTTGACCCGTCATCAGACTTGGACGGCAATGTTCCGCCTGTTCCCTTGATGACGAGGAACGCAGTCCCAAAACTTGTCGAGTCTTCAAACTGACTTTTGAGCGACCCCATGAACCAAGGATATGTTCTGCCAATTTGGCATAGCGTGTAATCGTTTGGCCCGGCAATGGCACAGGAGAAAGTTGCTGCTGTAATCTCTTGTAGCAAAGATGCGTTTTTGCTTGCATTCACCCCGCCCGTCAACATGTCAAAATGCCCAGTGTCGTTTCCCAGCGTGATGCCTGGGGCTTGACAGGAGACTCTCGCGTCCAGAACGAGAGCCTTGCCGAGGTAAGAGCGCAAGTTCTGCCGAGATTCCACGGTGGCGTACGGAAGAAGTGTTCGTAGGAGGACTCCGGTGTCGTCAATACCGCTTTCATAGCCCTGGCCTGATTCCCAGTATTCCCCAAAGGAGGGATAGAACGGAGGATTTGTTGTCCAGGCCGAGTCTCTCTTAATTCTCCGAGTTACATCTCTATACGAAAGGCCATTTCTCACTTGAGCCCTGACGGTCTGGCCACCAAGAACACCGGGTTTCAAATCTGTCAGAAGCAGAGTAGATGAGAATTGGAGGACGGCTGTGGTAAAAAGTAGACCACATGAAATCATTCCCCACACTTGACTTCGTGCGTGTTTCCTAGTTGCACGCCAAAAATCTCGCATCAAGAACCAGACCAAAGTCCCAGGGCTCGCTGATCCTGTACGCAGGGGGGAAAGGCTGGCCAGATGAGGTATGTGTACTCCAGTCCGGGACTCCAAAAGTAACGAGACAATTATGCTGCATGCAATGGCCGCCTGAAAGTCCGCCGATGTCCTTAATAGTAAAGCGGAGATGGAAACAGCTCTCGTTGCCCAGTTACTCAGCAGGATATTATGCCAGCTGGTATTATAACTGTCCCCAAACCACAGAAAACTAAGAAATCCAGAGACACCGAGAGTGACGAGTCCACTCGCTAACACCACCCCAAGCGTCATGTGGCCTATTCGAGAAATATCTTTTGATACAGTGTACGGCCGTCGAGTTTTGCTGTCTTGTGCCTCTCCTGATTTACCATTTTCTGGATATGACGGCAAAGAAATCCTACCCTATGTCATTAATGCAGATTCCATTAGGGCCGTAGAAAGGGAAAATACCATTCCGCGCTTTTCGAGTGATCCCTCTCGTCACCGAACCTATGTCGAACGCAAATCCATATGCCCAGTACTATAGGAAGAATCAAAAGGAGGCCCATGCACAGGCCCACAACGATCCAGGCTGGGAGATGCCCATTTTCTGAACCTTTGTGAGGGACAGGCAAGATTTTCGGCGGTCCATCTGCTACCAATCCAGCGGATATTTCGGGCAAAGGAGGCTGCGAAGCACGGAGAAAGGTCTCTAATTCGTGCGGTTGCTCCAGGAAGGCCGATCTGACATCTGAAGGAGGACACCCACCTGGGTTGCATGCATTACTGGCACAACATCCAAAAAAGGCCAGCCCTCTGATGGAACAAGTGTAAGAATTGGCACCAATCGGACACGCCGGGTCTGGCAACTGCCCAGTGTCATCTGCTGCCATCAAAGCTGGAGAAATATATCCCTCTGCACAGCCAGTTTCACATGGCTTCAGCTTGCAGCAGCCTACGAATCGGGATCCAGAATCGCAAGCATACCATATGGAACCATCTCGGGGACAGAAAACGGTGGCGTTTTTGGTGAGACCAACGGCGGACATTGCCGCGATTTACGTGTATTCAGGCAGAGAAAATGGCCAGCGAGTAGTATGGCGAAAGTGGCAGAAGAGGCAAGTGCGTAGATGGGGATGCGCTCTGTTGAAATAAGCTGTGTCCGACAAATTTGGGGGCTAGTATGGCTTGCAATGTACATATACATTCCACAGCCTATGTACAGTCTGGTCTAATTTCAGATCCTACTAACTGCACCATGGCTGACAAGACTTCGCCTCTTTCACGCAACTTTTCCAGGTTAGATGTCATACAGGCTCGAAATCCTACACGCTGACCGTCAAGGTAAAGGAAGCAATGACATGTATCGGGTCATCGTTTCAGATCTGCCCTTCATGGAGGGGCCTTAATGGAGGGCCTTATTTGGGGGCCTAAGATGACAGAGCTAAAAGTTGTACCGAAAATATCGAGCAACTAATTGATCAGAGAAGAGATGGAGGAAAAACCCAAAGGTCTCCTTATCAAGCCACCAGACTAGTGCCTGTTGGGACGTATCTCACCCTACCTGCAGCAGTGACTACCTCAGTACAGGTGCTAGAGATCACTCGGAAAGAACAAGAATAGCTGTTGACCCTGCTAGCTATTGTAGACATGCGCGTTACCATAGGTAGCTTGACGTCTCTGTTTGCGAACACGCGAAATGATTTCAAAAAGCCCAACTCGTAGCATAGTTTAGGGATTGCTACTTATTGGCAGGGAGCTATGAGTGCTAGTCAAGGCATGTCGTGAGAACTGACCTCGGGATAGCGCTTATTATAATATACGTTAGACCACTCACTTACAGATTCGCAATCCACTGCTGTAAACTTGATCAAGAGGAGGCATGATCCCGCAAGCTACGTATAACGGGCACTATAGCTCCGTCTTGAACACTAGAGGCTAGAGGAAGAGATGCCGTGTATCTCTCCTACGTGTCAACTTAGGCACAAAAGCCAAAACAATCGATAAACTACTCGCCAGATTTCAATCCATGTGTACGCGTACGTCATGGAAATTTATGGCTAGCTTTTATACATGATGAGCCTTTGTATAGGATGCTTCGCGCGAACACACAGTTTCCAAACTCCCACGCTTTCCCATGCTATACTTTGTAAATCCTTACCTTCTCCATTTAAAATCTAGCACTGAATCCCATATCTCCTCAACGTCTCCTTACCAGTCGTGATCTTCATACCGATTCTGTATAACCATCATGAGCTTCTATGAATAGTTTCATCTAGGGCAACAGGGGAAAACATACCTCGCATCCAAATCATACGCCTCCCACCTCGTCACCTCCTCTAGCCAATCTTTGCACTGATTCAATGTCTTCATATGCGCTTCTGAATCCCCATCTGCATCCGCCTCACGCCACAGATTCGCAGCCATTTCGTAACGCGCACAAGGCGCGGTCCAGTTATCCTTCAGATTGCCCTTCAGTAGCGTCCTATCAATTGGCAGAATGTCCTTCTCCAACAATGCTTTGGCCTCGGCGGTTCTACCCATGTTTCGGAGCGTAGCAGCACGCAAGACTGTTAGGATGGCGTGCTCGTCTTGACTTTCTTTTTCCCAGAAGGGATTGGCGGCGGATTCGCTCCAAGCCAGGTTCTGAAGGGAGACTTCGAGATGGTCTATGCGCATTCTCTTGTACCCGTTCCAAAAGTATATCATCTCTTCTAGTGGGGAGACACCGATTGCATCAATGAAGTCACATTTCCATTCCTTGGCGCGGGCCTCCCACTTCTGGATCTTGCGGATGACGAAGACGTCGAAAGGTAGCTGGCGCGCCATAAACTTCTTCTTTCCAGTATTGGGTACGACGAGCTTGAAGAATTTCTCTGCCTCTGCCGCGTGCTTCTTCGCCGCCGTTGGATCTGCGTTCTTATTACGTCTGTAGAGCTCGACGTAGGATGCACCGCAGATGAAGTAATAAAGCCCATGACTCCAGTTATTGAGCGTAATGCACTTTTGAAAGGCGAATGCGGTCTTCTCGTAGTCGTGAATGTACATGTTATTCAGACTCCGCTCGAACCAGCCAAGTGCTTCGAGCTGCTTGAGGGGTGATTCACCTGCGTTTTCCACAAACTTGATGGAACTCTCCAACTGTTTGTCGACAGCTAGCATACGGGCTTCCTCGATCAGGTAGATGTGGCTCTTGGGATACCGCCCACGCATGTACTTCAATAAAGCCACGCATCGCTCCTTGGAATATGATCCATCGTCTGAGCTGGGGAAGATATCGCAAAAGCTCGTGAAGCCATTGAGGTAACCCAAAAGTACTGCACCGGCCATTGCACCGTGGATGTTGTGGAACTTGGTCGCTTGCCAAAGCAATGCCATACCACGGTCTCTGTCACCTTTGAAGCCCACAATCTTGAGCAAGGAGGCGAAAGAAGGTGGTACGAAGGAGAGAAGTAGTAGGAGCATACCGAAGCAGAAATTAGACCCTGAAAGTATGAACTGGTCTACAGGGTGGTCGCTGAATGTAGCGATATCCGCTTCCAGACCGCCCAAGCCGTTCAACGTGAGCTGTTCAAAGTCTTCAATGACTTGGGGTACAGATTCGGATGGCTTCTCATTGGGCGGTGGAAGATTAGGTGCAGTGTTAGCCTCTGTACCTAACTTTCGTTGCTCGGTGTCAAGTGCGATGGATCCACCCTGGGCTGTTGCGATGTTCAAATGGCCTGTATATTCCAAGGGTGTCTCGTTCCCCGGACGATCCGGTTCCGCATCTACAAAGTCGAAATCATCATCACTACTGGAGCCAGAAGTCTGTTGTGGAGCCTCTGCTGTTTCTTTTGAACCCGCTGGAGCTCCCACCTCCTGATTCCGCTTGGGGCTATTGGTCGATGCTGGAGCAGATACTCCAGCGGGATTTTTAGCCTTGTTCGACCGAACTGAGTCGGCCTTTGATGGAGCCTTTGAGTCCACAGAATTGACACTGCTCACGCTCCTCTCCTTCAAGAAATTCTTCTCGTTCTCCATTACAGCCTCTAATGCCAGATATGCCTTCCTCAGCTTGTAGAAACTCTTGATCGCCTCCGTCAAGCTTTCATTCAGAACACCCACAATAGCGCTCATCAGTTGAGCCTCTGCCTGGCAAATCGCGTATTCAGTCCCTGGAGGGTAAATCGGTGAGCGGTAGGCGTTGGGATCTTTGGTAACTCGTCGCTGCTGTTCGTAGGCGGCATTTTCGGCTTGGTAAAGAGTGTTGGCCGCTGCACATGTAAGCATCCAACTGCCAACACGCTCAGAAAATTATGTGCAAACCTTCACGCATGGTTTCCTGTTCGAAACCTAGGGTAGCCCTCATGAAAGTACATACTCCTACGCCCAACTACGTTGCATCAGTCCTTGTATTGTGCAAGTACGCTCCACGCGCCTCCAAACCGGCTGTGCATACTTGGTGAAACGGCGAAGTGCCTTTACTGAGATTCGCCTCTGCAGTCTCCACATCATCGGCCATGATATGGGTGACGGCTGTGGTCGCATATGATCAGTCCTGGCTTAGGGCTCATTTCGACTCAGATAGCATACCGCTCATCGCATCCTGTACTGAACATGGTAAGTAGCGCTCTGCCTAGGCTTTCTGAGCCCACATACATTGGGCAAGCTCATCCAGAGCGTTCAGGCTCTTGCTTGTGTGCACAGGACTATGGCCCTTGAGCCAGCCCCCAACCTTCAGCATCGTGTAGTCTTTCTACACCCAAAGGTCGGACTCGATGGCGGGGTAGGTAATGTATCAATACTTCAAAGAGAGACACGGCGTAAAGCGGACATCTGAAGACGAATATATAATCAAATGCACGCGCGTAGAGGGCGGAGCAGCGAGACGAAGTACCAACACGCGTGTGTGTCAATTAAATGTTATTCACCTCCCAAGGCTAGTAAATTGACTAGGACTGGGTAAGCTCAATGTTTGCTTCTTTTACGTTCGTCCGGGCGGCCAATGAGTACGTCATCCTTCTTCCCTAGTCCGGACTTTGCAATGAAGATACTCCGAAAGAGGACGAAGAATGTCCTTTCTTAGAGTACAAGTCAGTGCATAAATCTGATGCACTGTAGAACAACATACCTAGATAGTACTGTAGATCTTGATCCGAGATGGTCCAGAACCAAGAGACCCTGCTGCATCATCTACGGACAGTTTGATAGCCCGCCGGTCCCCCGCGGCCATTAGATAGAGCACATCCGACAGCACGTGACACTTGCAACAACGCTAAGCCTTGTAGGTAAGCTCTCGCCGCGTCCGCCGTGCGTGCTGAGAGTGCGTTCCGGAACCACCATCACCAAGCTCAGAACAAGCAACGAAGCCCACGTCGACACTATACACCGAACTCCATACCCACCTTACTCCCCCAAACCACACTCGGGCCCCCTTACACCCCACACACAACCATGTCCAACGCACCAAAAGACACAAAAGGCACAGCCCACGACTCCAAAACCAGCGAGCAGCCACTCTCCCAAGACAAGAAGCCAACCGCACAACTAGAAGAGGACGATGAATTTGAAGATTTCCCCGTAGAAGGTGCGTTCATCACACTCTCCTCCTACCACTCATCATCTCCCTTCCCTTCAGGAAAACGCTCCCGAACCTATAAAACGGGACTAATAATATGTCATGATTATAGACTGGACAGAAGAGGAGACACAGATTCCTGGCGGCAACGCACATTTGTGGGAAGAGAGCTGGGATGACGATGATACGAATGAGGATTTCTCGGTACAGCTGAGGTGAGTGGGGTACACTCGAAATATACGAATCATTGGAAGTTGACTGACGGGGTCTTTAGGGAGGAACTCAAGAAATTGGGTAAATGAGAAAGATGCTTCGATACACGGCTACGCAAACGAGACCGCCGATATCAACATTTAGAAGAGCGTGCGGAAGATACCTCCTCAATGACCACCATGTTACGAATAAGCCACCATGAGTTGCATCAAGACGATAGTCAAGCTGGCTTGCATGATCATGTCAAGTACAGTCTAATCAAGTTGTGTTAAACTAGAAGGCTATAGCTACATAATCATAACCTCGAGGATATACCTTCGCACATCCTGAGCATTTCGTTTTCTGTACGCGCGACAAGTGATTTACTTACTTGACAGCGCAGACACACCAGGCAGGTCTTTGCCCTCAAGAAGCTCCAGCGACGCACCGCCACCAGTCGAGACGTGGGACAGCTTGTCCTCGACACCATACTTTGCGGCGACAGTAGCAGTGTCACCACCACCGATGATGACAATCTTACCGCTTTGCGCAGCCTCGACAGCCGCATCGAGCGTCTCCTTAGTACCCTTTGCGAAGGCGTCGAATTCGAATACTCCGGCTGGACCGTTCCAAAGAATGGTCTTTGCCTCGCTGATTGCCTCTTTGTACAACTTGATTGACTTTTCGCCACAGTCGAGACCCATCCATCCATCTGGGATGCCCTCCTCATCTGTGGCGTAGCCGGTCTTTGCGTCCTTGTCGAACTTGTCGGCTGTGATGTAGTCGACTGGCAGAACAATCTTGACATTGTTCTTCTTTGCCTTCTCAACGAGATCCCTGACTGTCTTGCTGCCGGCCTCATCGAACAAGCTATTGCCGATCTTGACACCTTCGAGTGTCTTCTTGAATGTGAATGACATACCACCGCAGATGATCAAGCTGTCAACCTTGCCTAGCAGGTTGTCGATGAGTTGGATCTTGTCTGAGACCTTGGCACCGCCGAGGATGGCAAGGAAGGGCCTCTTGGGCTCTTCGAGCGCCTTTGCGAAGTAGTCGAGCTCCTTCTTGACAAGGAAGCCTGAAGCCTTTTGGGGAAGATCGACACCAACCATGGAGCTGTGAGCACGGTGGGCGGTACCGAAAGCATCATCTGTATCATGTTAGTACTGCTCTCTTGTTGCGTCTTCAGGCTTAGTTACTGATGTAGATGTCTCCCAAGGCAGTCAATCCTTTCCTGAACTCATCAATCTTGCTCTTGTCAACCTTCTGCTTCTTGCCCTCGTCATCCTTGTAGCTGCCCTCCTCCTCGGCGTGGAAGCGCAAGTTCTCCAATAGAATGACTTGTCCATTGCTAGCGCTGTTGACAGTCTCCTCTACTTTCTTGCCAACACAGTCACCGGTAAAAGTGACGCTCTTTCCAAGCAGCTTCTCGAGTTCGGGAACAACCGGCTTGAGGCTGTACTTCGGGTTGGGCTTTCCGTCCGGACGGCCGAGGTGCGACATGAGGATGACAGCCTTGGCTCCATTGTCGATCGCATGCTTGATTGTGGGGAGAGCTCCGACAATGCGTTGGTTGTTTGTGATCTTGTCGCCATCGAGTGGGACGTTGAAATCCACCTGTTGAGCGTGTTATTAAATAGGCTCTTGCCAGAAATAGCACAGAGGATCGTTAGTCATGACTATAACGTACTCGAATCAGGACGCGTTTGCCCTTGAGGTCAACATCGGCGATTGACAGCTTGTTTGAGAGAGACATGTTGGAGGTGTAGTATACTGTGCTGGCTCGCGTCAATGTAATGCTCAACAGTGCGTTTCCGATGTCAGAACTGTGATTGTAGGTCGAGCAATGGAATTCCGGGCGAGATAACAGAAAAAACAACTTACTGTCAGAGTTATGTAGAAGATCAGAAGAACTTCCAGGCGCTTACTGTTTGTTGAGCTTCAGAACAGCGCGGCCTCTAGTGGGGTTATGATGAGGTAGGCGCGGGGCATGGAGCTCACCTCTCCTTATCGAATCACGCAAAAGCAAGAAGACCCTGATGTTCCCGAATCCATAAACCAATTAGCAAATTTTGAAACACTGGCCATCTTTTTTCACTGCTCAGCTGCTCAGTCCCGATGCATTCGGCCAAGGCATGGGCTTCACCGCGGCCGGGAGCGAACTTGCGTGATGTTAATGTCACAACACATTTCGACTGGCCTTTGACAAGATCGCTCGCTTTGTCTTCTCCAAATGGAAGACACAAGACGAGAAAGTATTCAAGACTCTTCACGAGGTCCCTTAGCTTACATACCGCTCATTGTTCTGGGAACTGCCTGTACATTCTCTATTTTCAAAAAAAAAGTTACTAAAGATAGTACATGTCATTCCAGCAACAGTGGTAGAGAAGAAGGAAACCAGGACCAACATCTGGCAAAACACCCACAACCCAGACGCCATGAAAATGCCCAGCGCCAAATTACTCCAAGTGTGGCACCGCCTTGCGCACCCTATGGAAAGAACCGCCAAATCGTCAAGACCAAACGGTTCATGTACGCAGACGCAGTATTGTAAAGAAATTCGTTCGACGAGACCATCTAAGCTTCTTCCGCAGAGTTGGTGAGCGACAGGTATGCTGTCCAAGCAATACCAACTGTGGAGACAAAAGGCTACACGATGTCAGTCCCCGCTAGATAGACAAGTGGGAAGTCCAATCTTACAATTTGGTATTGAATTGGCATGATTCTGAAGTTGATGATTTGCACCGTGGGCCAGATCACAAAGTTGGCTTTCAGAGCTGGCACATAGACGTCCTGGAACTTGCGTTGCACAGCACGCTTTCCACCACCCTCAGCAATTGTCATGAATGTAAAAAAGCAGGCGAGACCAGCTGGTGCGAACAGGAACTGATCGAAAGCCACGCGCTTCAAAGCAGGTAGCCATGTCGCAGACTTTGTGACAGGAAAAGTCGAAGATAGAAACTTAAACCATCGGTGTTGGATGGGAGACATGAGGAAACCGTACGACATGAATCTTGTGGTGCGCTCAAAATCAAATGGCGGCGGCAACTTCTTCGAATCAGGAATCAGGTCGTTGTGGTTGAAGGGGTTTCTTCGGTCCAGGTCGTGAATCTCGATTGCCAGGAAGTCGTCCTTGTCTCCCTTGCGAACTGCGCGCATCCGGATAGCGGTCAGTGTTTGAGCGACTGTGTCCGCGATGCCACCTAGTACCTAAGACGGATGTTAGCCTACCAACTTGTTATGTGCTCCTGAACATATCGTATTGACACAGTATTTCGATAATAGCTGATGCACGCAACCTGAGTTGCAGAGGTGGATGCGTCGCACGAGGGAGGGCGGATGGAAGGCGGATACGTACGGCGTTGGTAATCATCGTCGTGAGCACTGGTAGATAATCAGCATTTGCGCGTACACGCCATGATAATTCAAAATGTCCTACCTGGTCGTTGCGCATAGTAATGATTGTACTTGCGCACAAGCAGCGATACGGCAGCCATCTGAATGAGGAAGACAGCGGCGTGCAGGAGGGGCTATTCAGAGGCGCAAGGTTAGTATGTGGCCATGAGAAAGGGTAAGCATGGTCTCTCACAATCTTGCCATATATCCAACGACTGTTGAGTTGGTACAACAACCTCTGTCTGGAGCTGTTCATTGTGTCGTGTGTTGACAGAGGGTCAGCGGAGCTCGATGATCGCGATGACGTCCGCGAAACGTCGTAGTACAGAGGTCCGTGTGTAATCGCGATATCAAGCGCCACCTGTGATGGTCCTTGCAAAGAGCAGTGAGTTGAGTTATCACGTTCTAGATACTATGCTTCGAGGCGATGTTGAAGTGAAGTTGGACTTGGGGCTCGGCTGGCAACTATCTGGGGTCTCCTGCGGAGGAATAGGATGAGGACTGGTGGCGTATGCCATTCGACGGCCCGAAACTGCGAGTCCCATGTCGCAGGGATGACAAACGTTTCACACATCAGATCATCGCATAATTACGTCTGAACCGCATCCTAGAGTCAGCACGTTTGACCATCTGTTTTTCTTCTAAAGACGACTCAATTAGTCTTACAGCTGGACCTATCCAGCAAATACCAGATTTCCTGTACAGAATAATCACATCACCGGCTCTTGTGCCTTCTGCAACGCCGTAACTATTCATGGTTCGCAATGCACAGCATGCTGTCAGCAACATCTTCTCATTTGTCCTTATTGACCGCTATTATACTTGGGAGTTCACGGATATCTGCGGTCTCATTCGTTGCGAGGTCGATCACCCGGATAGACTCCACAGATAACACACCGGCAGAGAGTGCAAGGAACTTCAAACTGGCGGTATAACACGAGCCCGGCGACAAAGACCTATTCAAAGTTATTAGGGTCTCTGGAAAATCGGGTATACCGGACTACTGACCCTAATCGGATATCCGTCGTCAAGCAGACCAGCTCAGCTGTCTCCTTCTTCAAACTTTTTTGCTTTGCATACACGACGTTCTCGTCAATTACAGCAGGTGTGAGGATTTCTCCCGTATCTGCCTCATGTCCATCTCCCTTTGATGATGTTGGGCGTCCCTCATAGTCTCTCTTCCTTTTTGCAACGGACAGTATCGCTAGTTTCCGTGTCTTGTCTGAACGATTGATGATGAAGACATCCCAAGTGAATATCTCGCCGACTCGTACTTGCGGCGGTCCGGAGATCGTAAGAGTGATATTTATGAGCTTACTCTGAGCATCCAGCTCCTGTTGCGATTGCATGCCGTGAGCAGGCAACGCATCGGGGTTCGTAGCTTTTGGGTCTTGCGGTGCGTGCTTGCTCAGCCGATGAGCAGTCTTGATAGCGCTTGCATTCTTTTCATTGACAAAGTCGACAGGCGTTTTCCACTCGATGGATATAGCTGGGTTACAAGCACCTGTTATATAAACGATAGCACTGATGCTCAAGGCCAAGAAGTGCCCTTTGCTTCCAAGTGATGGGGTGCCATCGGGACCAATGTCGGGCTTGATCTTGTAGGTGTAAGTCATTTGATCTCCCGGTTTGTGGATTATAGTCGCATCTGTGGAACCAGCTATCGTCTCGACCTCGCCGCCATTCAGCTTGAGGCGTACGTCCTTGATCCTCACATCATGAGTCGCAAATTGGGCAACCTCCAGATCCACAGATGCGAGCAGGGACATGTCGCTCACTGACGCTGGGACCCGCGAGTACCTTATTCGCCAAACGAGTGCTGGTAATACTCGATACAGAAGCCTTTGGCCGCTGCGTATCGGACGAACCATCTCTTTCGCAACTGGGGCGTTCGGAGTGATCTTGCTAATACGCATCGCTGATAGATGAGGCTGTACACCATCCAAGGCTGGATCATTTTCGAAAGCTTGAAGCAGGTTCAATGCCGCAGGAACTCGGCTTGGCAAATACTCATTCTCCGTAGAATCCTGTTCAATCTTTTCGGCAGGTTTGAAAGTGGCTGTAGGCTGAAAGTAAATAGCTGGCTTATGGAATCTGCCTTGGGGCCGGGCTACTTTTGATCAGCCTCATTAAAATTATAAGATAGGCCATGGCTGCTATCTCACATATGAATACATCCACTTTCCAGATTGCATAAGTATAGGCGCGGTCCCCTTCTCCATGGCGGAGGACTTGGGGTTCACTCGCGCTTGTTAAAGTGCTTGAATGAATGAGTTCCTTTGGGGGTGCAGACCTGGGTTCTTGGTCCTGTGGTGGCCCAGTACTAAAAGCATATGCTTCCACATGCACCAGCAATCTGGTAAGATAGGATCGGAGAATGTCTTCTTCTAGCAAGGGCGTGCGAAACACAACGTATACTGATAACAATTCATCTAGACGCCTATGCATGAGTAAGAGACATGTTGAAAGTGATACATCCGAGCTGTCATACCAAGTAGAAGTACATGTCTCTGCGGCAGGAATGGTAATATGGAGCCACTCTCCTGGTCCACTGCCCCATCCCAGGAGCTGAGCGCGTCTTTGAAGTCGATATCAAGACTAGCAGGTACAACCGCTTCCAGAACCGAGCTTTCGACGAAGTCTGCACTCCCACGAGGCTGCGCTTCAATGGTACTTGCCGGCATCACCAGCAACGTACGGTTTACCAGAATATATGACTGTTGGAACTCTCAGCCTTGGAATCGGTACCTCAGTAGTGGACTTGATTCACGTGCAAGTGTCCACGGGTGGATACTAACTTGCCAAGTCTTTGTTGCACAGACCACCGGCCCCCGACCTGTCCGCCTGGTCTGTGCAACTAAAACTTAGCTCCACTGCGAAATCGTTGCAACAAGCACCGTCACCTAACACGCGACCACAACACAACTACCAACGTAATGAACGGGTATCCGCCTCAAATGGCACCACCAGTATCTGCCTGGCAGGCTGTAGCCTCGGCTGACGGGAAAGAGTACTACTACAACGCCGTAACAAAGCAGACTACCTGGGAGAAGCCGGACGAGCTCAAAGACGAAGTCGAGGTGCGCGCTTTCCTGTTTCGTGGTAACATCGTGAGCTAACAAAATGCAGCGTGCGATCATAGGAACTGGCTGGGCCACGCAGATAGTCAACGCAAGGCGCTACTTCTACCACACTCAGACAAAAGAGACGACGTGGGATATTCCTGACGTAGTCCAGAAAAAGATCGATCAATACAAAGCTGACCATCCACCGCAACGTCCCCCACCCGCAGGCCCGTCAGGCTGGGCTGCTGGACCCACTGCGCACCCACCTACGTACGATAACCGTCGCCCTGAACGCGATGAGTACCGCCCTGACAGACACGATCGTGATCGTGACCGCGACCGCGACCGGGATCGTGAGTCTGGCTTTGGCGGTGACAGACCGAACATCAACTTTACCACTGGCTCGGAGCTCCAGTTTTCTACTCCTCAGGAAGCAGAGGCTGCCTTCATGAAAGTGCTCAAGCAGATCAAGGCCCAACCCGATTGGACTTGGCAGCAGGCTGTTCGTGCTGGTATCCACGATCCCAATTGGCGTGCAATTCCAGATGCAGAGAAGCGCGAGGACGCGTTCAGGAAATACTGCGAAGACTTGCGCGCCCAAGAGAAGAACAAGGAGCAGGAGCGCCAGGCCAAGCTGCGCGCTGACTTCACAGCTATGCTTCAGTCGCATCCTGAGATAAAGTACTACACACGCTGGAGGACGGCTCTGCCGATCATCGAAGAAGAGACCATATTCCGCTCTGCCAAGGATGATACCGAGCGTCGCTCACTCTTCGAAGAGTATATTATTTCGCTGAAAAAAGCACACGAGGAAGAAGAGGCTGAAAGCAGACGGTCGGCGTTAGACGAGGTTCTTGGTCTCATGAAAGACTTGGACCTTGAACCCTTCACGCGTTGGCAGGCAGCTGAAGAGAAGCTTGAAAAGAGCGACGAGTTTCACAGCGAGCGATTCCAGACGTTGACCCGCATCGATGTGCTCAACCAATTCGAGAAGCACATTAGGCAGCTTCAGCGCGAACACAATGACCGAGTACAAGCTGACAGGCGCGTCAAGCATCGAATGGAGCGCAAGAATCGAGACGCTTTCATCACCCTCCTGAGCGAACTGAGGGACAGTGGTAAGCTCCGAGCCGGCACTAAATGGAAAGATATCCATGATAGCATTCAGGATGATCCACGCTATATTGCAATGCTTGGACAGGGGGGATCTTCCCCTGTAGAGCTATTCTGGGACGCATTGGAGGAGGAGGAGGGCAAGTTCCGTACACTGCGTCGCCGTGCACTGGATGTACTAGAGGTGAATATCCCTTCCGAGACGACATGCGAACCTGGCTAACGAATACAAGCAACAACGCTTTGAGGTTACAACATCGACGCCTGTCGAAGAATTCCTAAGTGTCATGCGTACAGATTCTCGCACCGCTAACATTGACGAACAGTCGATGCATAGTATCTACAATTACGTTCTTGCAAAGGTGAAGAAGCGAGAAGAGGAAGAACGTCGAGACGAGGAGCATAATGAACGCTATGCCATGGACGCACTTCGCTCCATCATCAAGCGGCTTGATCCGCCGGTGCTACTTACAGACACTTGGGAAGTGGTACGTCCCCGCGTTGAGAAGACAGACGAGTATCGCGCACTGAAATCAGATACCCTCCGCGAATCGGTATTTGACAAGTACATGCGTCGCCTGAAGGAGAAGGAAAGCGACCGACGTGATCGAAGCAGGCGTGATGATCGCGACCGTGACAGGGATCGGCGCGAGCGAGACCGTGAGTATCGCAACGGACATTCCGACTCCCACCGCCGTCATCGTACGCGTACTCGCTCACCTGAACATGACCCATACGCAGCGGAGCGTAGGCGAGCTCAACAAGACAGGGAGGCTCGTTACCGGGTCAACGACATAACAGGCTTGTCCCCTCCGCCGATTCGTCGGGAGCGACGGGACGATGACCGTTACGAACGCCCTCGTCGTAGTCCTGGAGGTGATCATTATGGTCGTGAACGTCGCGAACGTGAAGTGGAACGTGAGCGATCTTATGTCAGTAGGGCTGACCCCCGAGAAATGAGCGCCCCCCTATTGGATTATGGTGACAGTGGCGGTCGCACTTCTTCAGCAAGGCGCCGCCGGGACAGCAACGAGAGTGCAAGCAGACGTGATCGCGATGTCAAGGTAAGCTACATCGCCTCTTTAAGATTAACCATGTAGATGCTAAGCAAACAGCGCGCTCGTTATTCACCTCGTCTTGACCGCAAGTCAAAGACGCCCGTTCCTGAGCCCGCCAAGAAGGAAGAAGAAGATGCAGCTCTTCGATCCGGCAGCGAGGAAGGGGAGATTGAAGAAGACTAGGTGCTTGTCTGATATCTACCTCGTGCGCAAATGCCCCAACTTCTTTGTGAAGCGGAGCATGGTTCAAAAGTAAGTTGCTTACAGTATCTTCTTTTCCCTCATTATCTGGGGCGAACAGTGTTTTTTCTTCTTTCCCTATTCTTTGGCCAAACATTGCCTTTTTGTGGTGAACACATGCTTGCTCAACCGGCGTCAGTTCGGAGTCGGGCTTTTCGTAGCTCCGCGCGCGAGTGGTCGTCTCACATTTTGTTCTATAAAGAGCTAGATAGATTTATCCTAATACATGCTCCATTGCATTTACGATATCGAGCTTTTCCCCAACATCGCCCCGATCTCCTCGAACACCATGACACCCTTCCTTCCCAACGCAGTCCCAACACCCACAGCTGCTGCTCCCACTGCCCGCATACGACTATACCCATCCATATCCTCCACCCCACCCACGCCGATGATATGGATCTGCTCAAGCTCCTTGTGTTGGAACAGCATGCCCTTGATCGTATACACATTGCCTAGCGCCAAGGGATGCAACGGGGCGCCAGCCAGCCCGCCGATCCCCGTCCCGTTTGCAGACTCCAGCGTATGATGGAAAACAGAGTGAGACGCACCAGACGCATTCTCGGTAGTCGGCGCCAGCAAGAGTGATGAGCCCAACGTGTTTGTAGCAGTAATGAACGATATCGGACAAGGGAGGTGCACTGGTTCCGCCTTGGCACTCGCCAACAACGCATCAATCAGCCCCTGGAATTGGTCGTGGTACGTATAAGGCGGTGTCTTGATACCAATTGGCACATGCACATGTCCCTCATGTGGATGTGAGGATTCAAGTGGCTCCAACTGGCTTCCTAATTTCTTCTTCAGGGCCACGAGGTACTTGAGCAAAGAAGGGGAAGAGTATGCTGGTGGCGGTTTGCCAGGTATATTCGGACAAGAGAGGTTCACCTCCATAGCGAGTACCATGCGCACGCTTCGCTGATGCGATGAGATGAGCTTGTAGCATTCGATTACTTCTTCGACGGATCCGGTGACGGATATCACAAAGGGCTTGTAGTGGCATCCTTCTTTTAGGTCGCTTAGGCCAGAGTTGATAGTGCTGATGAAGTCTAGATAACCTTGCAAAGGTATGGGGGAGTAGCCGAGGGTGTTGAGACTACCCGTGGAGTCCTGAGTGCGTGCTTGGTCTTTGTTGGGCTCGGAGGCAGATAGAGTTTTTGGGTTATAAAAGGTGAATTGGTGGATGTTGGGATTGTGAGGGAAACCATTGATAAGAGATGTTCGTGTGGTGACGGCACCGGTATACGAACTGTTGTATAGTTCTTCAAGTTGCTCCAAAGTTGTGCACCAAGGATTCGCAGAATTTAGAAGCGGTGGCGAAATGTACAATGGCCTCATTCTGAATACTTCCAGGAGCAGCTTGGGTTTCTTTTGCAAAGTTGTCAATTGAAGATGTTGATCATGAAACTGTTGTGGTAGGCAGATAGCGTGATTTGTCGGATGGTTCCGCTACCTAAAGGTGGGGTGATAAGCCCTGAAGTCAGTCCAACTGTCCAGGGAGAACATATGACTGTGATATTTACTTCCCTTGGCTATATGGAGAAGGGGACAGGATTCTCAAATAATGTAAGTTTCCATTCCAAGCGACTATACGTGTACAACTTGACATGTTACCTTCCAACCATGAGGCTGAGGGGCAGTGAAGTGTGTCCACGTGATTACGCGATAGAGCAGCCTGCACGTCTTCGCTCGCACTTGCCTCAACTCGGATTTGCAGTCAGGCGATTACGTATGATCGGTCGAAATCTAAACTTGGAGACTATAGACTTTATACTTCTACTGCCGGATGTTATGCTCTATGACTTGGGTATAAGGGGCGTGATACAATATCACATGTCTCTACCCCCAATTTAAATCGGCGCTCTTGCAAGCTTCTCCCATGCTGTTACCGATAATCAGTCTCATCCCCTCGCAAGCCATCTTAGAGATCACTGCTCCAGCGTCCAGCCAGGAGCGTCAAACCTTCTCGTCAAATGACCGCTTTATTTGTTCAGCTGCGTGTCGACGTAGGGTTTTGTTAGTGACTCTTCCTTCTCCATGGCATGATTACCGGTAAGCTTTGCAGTGGGTTGATGTTTTCTTCAGGGCACCACCACATTAGTCATGTTCTTCTCTACGCAGAGCGCAACGCTTACAAGATGAGAGAGCTACATGATCCCTGCAGAGGAACCTGCGATATCCTTGCTGACCTTCACTGCCACTCCAAGATATACACAAAGAATTTCGCGTGGAGCCAGCAAATGGAACATCGACAAGGTGCGGGAGCATACAAGACACAGTATCCAAGCAACCGCATAGAAATTGGCGAGCACGAGTAAGATGAAGACCATAATGTTGATTTGTCAAATTATCCTAGGGAATCAAGTTTGACAAAATTGTCCACGGGAGACTTTACTAATCCTGCAATGACTATCGAGGCTGGGTATTTGTGTCCGCAGGCCCCAAGTGCCCGTGCCGCATAGATACGAGGCATACCGGTAGATGCAGCCACAGCGGCACATGACACAGGTCTGCCAGCGCTTAAAGTCGTTTTGAGGACTCACATAACGACTTGCATCTTAGGCAATTGTTTTAGTCGATTCAGTTTCTACCATAGATACGTACGACCAATAGTAACTTCTCGTTCTTGCTTCATCTTGAGAACAGTACGTTGACTTCTAATTTCAACCTTTCGTTGAAGGTACCGGTAGCCAAGCCTAGCCAAGTCAAGCAGCCTCAGGCAACATTTTGGACGTTTTTGGCCTGTAGGCATCAGTATCTGCGCCGATCTGACGCGGGTAGCACAGCAGCGCAGAATACTGCCCTATCAGAGCATATGGAACTCGGTTGCATGAATCATATCGTCCTGTGGGGTGGCCACTACCAGTATTCGTTTGCTAATTCTTTATTGCCACAGCCACCACATATTGCAGTCGCCAAGTTCCATACTCAGAAGGCTTCAATCTCAAAGTGGTACTTAGTCTTCTGCTGAACCACATGGAACTCCCAGATACTCTCGCTATAAGGGCACCTCCAGTGCATGTAACCGAGCACGATGAAAGTTTCCTTGCAAGTTGTATATACAAGGGAAAGCAAGTTAGAGATATCTGGGAATCCCTCGGACTGTTTAGTTTGGTTAATGATGTGCGAAAGGAGCCCAGTTTCGCTATAGAGGAGGCGAATGAGTTGTACAAGAAGATCAAGCGTATAGCCAGAGACTTTAGCCAGTCTTACCCCGATGGCATAGAGCAACTGCAACATGACCTAATTAACAAACCGGCCTTTGAGAAGGCTGTGCTAGATCTGGGCGGGCAATATGGAGCAGCGATCTGGGGCCGACCCGAAGATAGTCAAGGTACTGTCTCCAGAAGGCAGGATGCAGGAATTGAGTTGAAGTGGGAAGAAGAGCGCGATAGAGAGAAGTGCGCAAAGTGCGTTTATGCTCTTAAAGATACTGACTTTTGCTAGAATCATGTTCTACATACGTTGCTGGATCACTCGACTTGCCGTGAAGGAGTTCAGCAAATTCCCACGCAGACCGCAGAAAAAGAGCACAACACAGTCCGTGGAGGCTTTGGATCGCGAACAAAATTCGTCCGGCAATTCGGGCTTGTTAAGGCTTTCCTTGGCCCCAGTTGCACACATGCTGCCACGTACTCACATGACAAGTCAACTGCCAGGGGAGTCCTCGAAGGAAAGTGCAGCCACACACGATAGTTTGCGTACAAATTCAGATACAAACACGAGTACCACCGCACCGGAAAATACGCCCACGAAGAGTGCTGATTCAACAACGCCGAGTAAGAGAAAAGCGATGGAGGTTGACAAGGCAATATCTAATGGGAAACTACCCAAGGCCCGAAAGATGGCAAGGCCCACCCAGGTGTCGTCATTTAGGCAGGAAAGACAGCTCTATTCGATTTCCAAATCACCGACCGTGATAGCGAATCGTATAGCCGAAGCATTTGCGCGGCAAAGAATCAGGGAAAATAGCTGTAATACGGATAGGACATGGAGACCTCGCGACGAGACTGCTGAAATAGAGACGGTCGCTGATGCAAATGAGGTGCCGGAGACTGAACCAGGTGGGCACCACCCTGTCAGAAAATCTCATAGCTCTATCAGCTGACAACTGAACGTAACTTAGATTCAACGTCACTGGACAGTGCCATCAGTACAGAACACAACCAGCCTTTGGACAGATACGAACAGGATGAGGTTATTGCGGGATCAACTGGTATCCATCAAGACCCGTTTCGCCAGGATTCAGTCATCCCCGGAGATACACAAGCCGAGACTTTGCGAGCGGCTTCTGAGCCTCTCGACGACGGTCATACAACAAATCATGCTAACACAAATAAATTCATCGATGATGATGATCAACTTCCATATCGGTTGCCAAAAAGGGCAAGATTGGAGACTACACAGGAGAGGGAACACCGCACAGAACTTTTCAAACTCTTACTGTCGTATCTGAACGGCATCAACCAATTCCATCCAGACACATACAGCATGGAAGCTGAAGAGCGTATGAACATGCTACTCCATCAATTCCACATCAATGACACCGAAAGACTACAGGCCAAACTGGGGGATGACTTTGCCAGACTCCAAATTGCATTTGAGAGCTGGATGAGCATGCGCCATCGGTTGACTGGATTTCGCGTCGCAACGGGATATCGCGGACAGCCAGGCGAGCAGTGGGCGGAGTTTCTCAAGCAGAAGCCCAATGTGCCGTGCGCATATGCGAGTCTCAGCTACGTCGGGCTACAGGAGGCTGCACTGAAAGGCGAGGAAAGTTATGTTGTGGACACTTTTGATGAGGATCTTGCAAAGATGTTTGATCTTCTGACAATGGTTAAAGGCTGTAACGGCCCAGAGGCTTTCAAGGGTATCGGATTGTATAATTCTAATTTAATAGGATGGTTCGAGTACGAAGGAGAAGGCTTATGAGATGGTATTCTGCGTCTTCTTGTTGAGCTTCTACCGGTATATGGTCTGCTGTGAAGATGGTTTTGACGCGACTTCATATGGACTGGTTGTTGATTCTTTCGTCTCATCGTCGGTCGAGCGGCTGATTAACGATTTCAGACTGACTAATTTTGAGTATGCGATCCAGGACGGTGTCATGGACTCGGCGTTGATGTTCGGTTGATATGCCTCTTATTTAGGTAAACACTGGTAGCGTCACATCATGTGTGAATCTCAGTTGATCGAAGCATGGTCGCACGATTTGGTGGTCCCTTTATAAACCATCTCTTACAGGTGCAACTTGCTGACCAGTGCGGCGAATCAACAAATCAATCTAAATAGTGCCTGCACGAACCATTTCTGCTGGCGTTTGTTTTTCGAGATGTTTCGAAGTGGTACCGGTAGATGTGGGTCAAGAACCTTGGGAAGCGGCGCGGAACGCCAAGTCCATTTTCTTGTGATTGCCTCACGCTAGGTATCGTACCCGTAGGTAAACAGCTTACACCAACCCCCAAGACTTTTGCCATAACCATCACGCTATCATTGATGTTCCAGTATCTACACTAAGACCGTTTGGATGCGACACTCTTCATGATTTGGCGGACGCTGACCGCTCATTTGGGAACGAGTAAGACATACCCTGACTACATCACCTCCCCCCTCAAATAGCCACTGGACTCTGCAGCGCGAACTTGGAGCTCGCGTGAGATGGCCTGTACAGAGGCCGACTATTGCTTTCCATGGACTGGCAGAGAACCTATTGAAGTGCGAACTCCTACACGGCCTGGATGAAATCTTGTTTTGCTGGTAGACTGCAGCACAACAACGCGTTTCAGCCCACAATAATTGGCTTTCAACATATTCGTGTCCAGGCAACCAATTCGGGAGACTAGAGTTTGAATCAGGGGCTGGAAATTTGCTTGACTGCAGCTTCCGGCTGAACCCTTTTGACAGGGAATTCTGTCCCAGAGGTTTCTCCGACAGCTGACGGCAAACCAGGATGGATCCTTTTCGGTATCGTAAGGCATATGAGGCTATGCTTCATACGACACAGTTGATCGAAGAACGCCTCAATCAAGATGGTGCTGTCGATCCCCAAGAAGATGCACAGGAAGAACCGCCAAAGCCTGCCTTCCAGGAGCCAGATGAAGACAGCATGGATTGGACGCCGACTGAGGCTACCACTCCTCCCCCACACTGTGGACCACCGCCTACTTTATCGGAAAACATGCGACACCTCCTGACTGGTGATGCCGCTGCTGACTTTGCCGCCGAAGAGCGCGGCGATAATACGGTGCTACTTCACAAGCTCAAGGAAGGAACCATCATGGACGAATGCATTGACAAACTGGTGCGAGAACTGCCCGACGTGTTGAACTACGATAAATCACTTGCCTTTACACCATCAACGATTGAGGTACCGAAAGACTTTGGTTTGCAATTGAGCATATCTATCAACCATCATCTTGCACAGGTTGCGGATCGCAAAGCTCTGGAGAAGTATCGAAGGTTACTCGGCCACCGCAAGGATACAGCAAAACGGAAAGCTGTGAAGCTAGGCTTTGATCCTGTTGAACTGATCAAGAAGCAAGCTGTAGCATTTGCCGACGATGCGCATAACTCATCAAGTACGCTTGACAATGACATCCATCCCATCTTCCGCCTGGAGAATTGGCATGGCTGTTCAGACGCCATCTACGATGTCTTGAAGCCCGGCTTGCGGTTGGCTACCTTGCTACTGACCTCACGAGCAACCGCCCACTTCTGGCATACGTTGGTGTTTGGTAAACGGGAGCCTTGCGAGAAAACTTCGGCGGCTTACGGCCAACCTTGTTTCCGCATCAGAGAGGACGTTGCGTGGTCTGAAGAATTGCACGCTACCTTTAGGAGTTTTCTGGACAACCAGATGGACACTGTACATTTCTACTTCCATCACGACCCATTACCACCAGAGACGGCGTACGCTTCCATGGGTCTGGTAAAAGATTACAAGAATGGTCTGATGCGCAAGATGAACGACAAATGCCACACAAGCCGGATCTGCTTACATTCCGACTTCTATACGACTGCCAAGAAGTTGAGTCTGCTCCGCTATCGCGAACCAGCCATGGTGTTGCGATACAATATGTTTCTGGCTACCTGTCTTGCGCATGAGATAGCTCACTTTTGTGAAGTATCGGGACCCCATCACGATCATCCGTTATTGTCTGAGCCAGAAGTATTCTTTGGAGACAACATGTGGACGGAAAGTGGCATCGCATTCGAGATCAAGGTTTTTGGTGGTCGTATACATCCACTGTCGAGCCGAATCGATTGCAAGTTTGGACTTGCCTGCCTGGATTATCCGCTCAAAGAGCTCTACGACAAGGATGAGAATGTGCTCTACGCTTTGCCCATGGACTATATCCTCAAACTACAGCTAAAGGAGACATGGGAGCAGGATTTCAGCACGGCTGGGACAGACGTGTTCTTTGTACCACGGACTGGTGGCCGGTCCATTGAGATCAACGGGACCAACTTGATGATCTGGGAAGACGAAAGCGATGCGGATATCTCAGACCACATTGACAACCAGGAAACCGAGTGGAAGCGCATGGACGACGGCTCTATTTCCAAGAACCCCAAAGCCAACAACCGAAAGCCGCAGAAGCAGGCCTTGGTAGCGCGATGGGCGCCGTATGGGCCAAAGAAGAGCAAGACGGTGGACGAGGGGGCGTGTGTGTCTAAGGCAGTCGTCGAGGTTGAGATTGCTAGTGGCGAGGAGCAGGGGGCGGGGGCGGGGACGGGGGCCAAGTTGCAGGTTCCGGAAGATGGTGATGCTGGCAAGGCTGGGTCTGATCAGGACATGGCATAGATGGACTGGTGGTTCGTTTGGCGACATGACGGAACTGGAAAGCGACATCTGTTGCATTTACATGTGGCATCAGCGTTGGATACCCTTTTGCATTGTTGGAAGGCGTTTGTGGGGTTTGGAAAGCAAATTATTACTATTGATTGCAGAAAGCAGATGTATTGTTCGAAGCCAATACGACATGGTCGTAACTAAGTCTGCCATGTACTACCATATTTATCAATGGGCTACCATGTGCCATGGCATGTAACCATGGAGACACCGTCTCCGTCATAGGCCGACACCGGTGCCCAGAGCCCAGGACATGCATGTGGTGGTGGTGGTGATGATGGTGGTGGTGGTGATGATGGTGGTGGTGGTGGTGGTGGTGGTGATGATGGTGGTGGTGGTGATGATGGTGGTGGTGGTGATGATGGTGGTGGTGGTGGTGGTGGTGGTGATGATGGTGGTGGTGGTGATGATGGTGGTGGTGGTGATCTTC